CCTCACAAAGTAGATGTAAAACACTAACAACTATGCTCCTGATCAATTTCTTTCTCTGGAAAGGCGCGAGTTTCATTGCTGTGCGGGATTTTTTGGTACGTGACTGAAGTTTCTTGTTGCACTCGGACATTCGCTGTCATGGTGATATGTGACATCTGCAGCGCTACGTCAAGCTGAATGTTAGATCCTTGTTCATCCCTGCTTCTTTTGTCACATCAATAAGCGGCCTCGGCATTCAGGGCTCCTATCACAGTAGCGTGAGTGTAGCACTCCTTCTCAAGCCCGGAATAGATCGTTGTCTATCAAAGCAACTAAGACTTAAGGGCAGTGTGATAAGCTAAACCTTCTGGTGCTACAATTTGGGAATGGAATTTTTTGTGAGTCAAAGAAAATGCGAATAATTCAAATGCCAGCGCATTGCAGTTCCCAGTTTACTACCCAACTTTCATCGCCGAGATATGTCGCCCAGCCTAGATATGCGCTCAGTCGATGCTTATCTAGTAGAGCTTCCGTAGCTGTCCAGATATCTGGGTGGTATAAAATGCCGTTCATCCGGACTCTCGTGTTTGCGTCCAACACAATATTCTCCGCTCTTGCGTTGGTTCCTGTGCCTTCGCGAAAGTCGTAAAACACAGATGAGAACGGATATAAGCCCAGCGCAGAGAAGAAATCAGGGTAACTTTGCAGATTCCGAGACATAGAGCAGAGGGTTTTCAAAGGCCCGTCCTCATGAGGCTGCACTTCATGTTGCCCGTTGACTAGGGCATTCAGCCATCGAAGGTCGAAAAGAGAGGCGGACTGGTTCCTACCTGCTGCGCTGTGTTTTCCGATGAAGAAGAAGACAAGACTAACAAAGATTAAGAAGACCAGAAAGAGGTTATTAGCCTCCCGGTTTCTTTCTCGGGTGGACTTATGGGACATTGCGAATTAGGAAGATATTGAAAGTCCGTGGTAGGAAACTTGAGGGTGAGGCTATGATCCTCTTGGCGAGGCTCGTTGTGGCGATCAACAGAAAATAACCCAGGATACTTGTTGAGGTGAAACCTTAGAGTCTTCAGATCAAGAACCAAGCTCACAGGGCCGGGACAAATCGGATGTGGTAAAGAGTGAATCTTCTTCCCTTTCGAAGAGAGAGCGGCAATATTTGTATGCCTGGTAATTGAATTACATTTTATGCCTACTCAGTGAAATATTGCCATCGACAAACAAAAGGTTCTAATGAACACAGTAGAAAACAAACGTGATAGGCTTTAGGTGTTAACAAATTAGGCAAGCCAGAGGTCTGTGCCACCGCAACAACAATAAAACAATGATACATTGTGCAAATACAATTTGCCCTGTTGCGTAAATTTTATAGATTTACTCTCTTGTGTCGACATATCATTACTTTCTTTGCAACAACAGCGATCGTTCGGGAAGCTATTGGTGAACCACAACTGACACTACGGAGGTTGAAATTATGAAGCCGCAAAGAGTCAGGAACACGGACTGTTGTTTGATAAATCTATCTTTTTTTTTATCTTCATGCTTCCAGAAGTAAAGAAACGGCCTAGCTCGTAATACCTATACATCCATGAAGCCGCGTCTATGGGGTGCTTGCTCTTTGCTTTAGTGCCAGCACTCTTGAAGTCCGACGCCTGCATGACAGCAAATACATTTATGGATCTTTGATTTCTTGAGATACTTGGTCAATCGATATTAAGACGATCATCAAATTGTGTGCCATCAGCTAAAGTAAGGAACTAGCGCATTCCGTGAATATCTTAGATAGTAGTCACTCGAGAACAAAGAAGCTCACTGAAAGAATGGGAAATACGAACACTTGATTGATTTAATATCTTGCAGAAATTCTTATCGACTCACCTACCGAATTCGAGATGGATCGGACAATTGTTTACCAGTACCTAGTCCAGAGACTGAGTTACACATGAAGCTTGATGTGGTGCCATCTCGTATTGTGAAGAATCACCTCACAGGGTATTTAAAAGACGACTAGCTCTGTCTAAAACTTCCAAAGACTCTCATGAAGTCGAAGCAGGCGATGAGAGACACTGCAGGCAGCCTGGCCTGAGTCAAACTCTGATTTACCACGTGATAAGCGACAACACATGGTGCAAAATTGCCAGAAATTATTAGGAAAATTTTGATCATCTCCTTATTTTTTGATATCCCAAGCGTTCACTACCCTAGAGTTAGAAAGCTGCTAAAAGAATCAGATGGTATTCCTAAATGCTACTTTTGGAATCTAGAAAGATGTTTACATCAACTACAAGCAATAGTTTGGAGCCAAGCCTTTACAACCGGCAACATAATTTTACAGAAGATCCGTTACAGCCTCGTTCTGATTGGGAATGTAGTCTCACGAGTAATTTTAAGATACATGTGTTCTTTAAAGGTGCAGTTATTCTCATATTTGGGAATAGCTTCATGCCGAATTCTCAGAAACTGTCTGCTATAGGGTAATTACGGTGTTGAGAGAAGCCGAGCCGATTCAGCTGCGGGGTTAGAATCGAAGAATCACCGAAGTCAAGTCCGGAGATTCTCCATTTAGGAGGCAGAAGTGGAATCAAATGAGTCGCGTGCTGCGGGACTTTGTGGAGAAACAATCCTGATGCCCTGATCATTGGCGTCATCTGCGAAGATACTCCGCCACCAATATCTGATTTGGTTTGGCCGTCAACGGAATCCCCGTATTCTGTCACAAGGGACATTTAGAATTGACGGGGTATCCGGCGATCGATACCCCGAGAACCTGCAATGGACCGAGCTCTCTCTTCAAATTCGCAGACACCGCATCTTCACCCTCGTGGCCTGGATCATACAAACACAATACTACTTGAGTCATCCCCGCTGGCTTCATTGACACCATGGCAGACCTTCCAACAGACTTCTTTACGGAGGAAAAGCCGCTAGAGACGCGATGGAATCACGCCTTCGCCAAAAAATCTGAAGATCTGAAGCCAGCACTCCAGCGGTGGACAAGAAACCCTCAGCATGTTATCCGTTTTGACGCGGACCAGTCCCAATACTGGGGCGTGAAACCCTCCTTGGTGACCAAATCAATCTCTGAATTCGAATCTCAGTCTTGGGGAAAGGGGGATGACTTCATCTTGGACTTTGGCATCCACATGGTGGGATATGTCTCGATGAAACTCGACGCGCGTGGCGAGCACATGGATGCGCCATGTAGGCTGCGGTTGACCTTTGGAGAATCCCCTCTTGATGTTACCCTCGGGATGGAAAATGTCAGGACGTGGATCAGCACGTCCTGGCTCCCAGACGAGGTCATCAATATCGACATGTGCCCGGAGCTTCTCCAGCTTCGCAGGCGCTACTCGTTCCGCTACCTCCGCGTTGAGGTTATCGACACATCCCCGAAGTACAAGGTGGCCTTCTCCGATGTCACCTGCGAATGCGTCAGCGCCATTGGCCAAGACGTCAAGATTGACTCTCCCTTGTTTCAGAGCGATATGCTGTCCAACATAGATCACGTCAGTCTCATGACGCTCCGTGACTGCATGCAGACGGTATTCGAGGATGGCCCTCGCAGAGACAGACGGCTTTGGCTGGGTGATTTGCGGCTTCAAGCTCTTGCTAACTACAAGACCTTCAAAGACTTCAACCTTGTGAAGCGCTGCATTTATCAATTTGCAGCAATCCCTAGAGAAGACGACTCCCTCCCTGCCTGTCTCTTCGAGTTCCCTAAGTTTACCCCGTCTTCTGATTACATCGTTGACTATGATGCCCTCTTCGCGTCCGTGGTTTACGACTACGTGGAAGCCTCTGGAGATGTCGAAGCTGGCCTGGAGCTCTGGCCAACTGTCCAAGGCTGCCTGAAAAAGGCCCTTTTGCATATTGACCCAAACACAAATGCATTTGACGAGTCCCGGGAAAAGCAGTGGAAGTTTCTCGACTGGCAACCGAAACTGGATCACAACGCTGGGCTTCACGGGCTTGTGCTTTACTGCCTCAAAGCTACTAACCGCCTGGCTCGTCTGCTTGGCAAAGAGCCCCCTCACGAGGAAATGGTATCAAAAATGACAAAGGGGGCCAAGGTCTTCCTCTCGAAAGACCAACTTTTCATCTCTGGGCCTAAATCGCAGCTCAGCTTTGCCTCGGCATCGTGGCTCGCCCTTTCGGGTGCTTTCCCCCAAGAAGTCGCCCGCACAGCGCTGCTCAACACGCTGAAACACCCCGATGCCGTCAAGCCTCTTACTCCCTACCTATGGCACCACGTGTGTGATGCGCTCGCTACAGTTGGGTGCATTGACGAGTGTCTAGAGACAATGACGGGATACTGGGGAAAGATGGTTGATGCGGGAGCAGACACGTTCTGGGAGGCCTTCAACCCGGATGACTGCAGGGACAGCCCGTACGGGGATGTACGGAACAATAGCTTCTGCCACGCCTGGAGCTGCACACCCACGTATCTACTGCGGGGGAAGCTTTGGGCTCAGGCTGGTAAGCCTGGGTCATCGCGGGTGTTAACCATGGGTGAATTGGACAATGTTTGGATTGAGCGATCCAAACAGCAGCTTGCTGCCAATAAGTAAATGCATAGATTGATAGAATAGATCTCGTGAATCTCACATGGCTTCGATATACTTGAGGAATGAGAACAACCAAAGTCATTCTATCAAAAGCAGGACCCTTCCTGCGAGTTTTTGGATTCATATCATGAGTGATGCAGTAGAGGGGGTAACTACTCTCAACTACATATGGTCATGGTGAGCATAGATCAAAGAGATATAATTCAATGCCCCAATGCGAATGGTTAAGGCAATGCTTCAGGGCTCGGAAAAGCTGACTTATATCGCGCATCTGGGAGAAACTCGGCACATAGCTGATGCCTAATGGTACCCAACACATAATCATCCGGCTGACATGCCTTGAAATCTTGAATAAGCATCATCAGCTGGCCCCTCACGAGAAACACAACCGCGACAGCCACTCTCATTGTGTAGACCCTTGTGCGTGCCGGAGAGCATCTTTAATTCGATATGAGATTCGATCTTAAAACCCTTCCATATCCTGCCGACGCATCGGACCTCACGGCTGCGTCGGACCCAGCGTTTTGTTATACATGTGTTAACTTGCATCCCGTGTCAGCCTCCGCTATGAGCGCGTCCACTGTGGTTGTGATGGATATGCAGGATACAACCAAAAAAGTCGACAGAGCAAGGCAACTTCTATCCGGATTCGAATCGCAGTCCATTTCTCCTACAGAAACGTTGAGAGCATGGGAGCTTCAAATAAGACTGGCTGATCTTAAGGATTCGTGCTTGGCCGGCTGTATCACCTGTTTACTCTTGAAAGAAGTGCTCATCAAGGTCCCGAATGGGCATTTTGACTGGGATGATCCCGCACTGTATATTGCGGTTATCTTTTGCGACAAGACCGTTCTCCGTATTTCCGTTGCGCGAGATCGGGATCATTATGAAGAATATAGCTGGGACTTCGGAATGCCTCATAGGATGCTGCATAATGAGCCACACATGGAGGAATATCAAGTGTACACTCTTCCTAGTAAGTTGCGAACGCAAATCTTTTTGAAGAGAAAAGAATTGGGCGTTTGATGTTGATATGGACCACCAGCCTCACCCTGTCCGTGGCCTACGCTCGGCTGTCTCATGAATGTCGAAGAACCTAGATGGCGCATGCGTAGAAAGTTACGTGGGCTAGCTGCCCATATTTCGTCTGATCCTACCTCACCCGACTTTATCGAGAAAGTCCAAAACTGGATTAACAGTTGCAAAGAGAATCACCCTATCTGTATCAATGCAGAGAAATCCACTTATCAGCCTCATCTCCCCGAGAAAATCATCAGCCTTGGCCCAGAATCAAACATGGACATCCAGTTGATAGAGGCATATGACTTACCACAAGAGCCCTACATTGTGCTACATGATCAACAGGAAGAGACAAACTTCTCAAGCCTATTTGAATGCCAAGGGCCTGAAGACGACTTTGTTGAGGTACCGTATAATGCCCTTCCCCGGGCCTTCCAGGACGCTATTCTAGTGTGCCGGAAGTTGGGCGTTAAATATCTGTGGATAAATGATCTTTGCAAGATCGATGATGATGAAGACTGGGAAATCAAAACAGAAAAGAAGGCTATGGTGTATAACAATGCAGAATTGGTTCTTATGTTGACGGGATTGGTCGACGGTAATGATGGTTTTCTTTGCCCTAGAAGACCTCCAACAATCATTTCTGGAACATGGCCAGATGGAAGACCATTTGAAATATATGCTCGACCGCATGAGCCTTTACACGACCCAGATACGATGGAGTGGCTAAAGGGAAAGCCGTCCCAACATGCCAGCCGAGCTGAGAGTTTCCGACAGCAACTTCTGCCTCGACGTAGGCTTTGGTTCACTAAAGGTGAGGCCATCTTTGACTGTCTGACCTCAACTAGTTGTGAGTGTGGGAGCTTCTTGGACTCTGAAAAGGATCTATATCTTCCGTTACGACGTATTTTGAAGCCTGGCGCAAAGCATATCATCAAGACGGATGACTCGCGGATCTATCATGAGCAGTGGAGAAATCTGGTGGTCAAATTATCTCAACTGGAAACCAGGGATTCGCCATGTGACCTTGCATCAATCAGCCACTTGGCCTCGAGATGGGCAAATGGATATACCGGTAGATACCTAGCTGGACTTTGGGAACACGATTTGGTGAATCATTTGCGGTGGTATCAAAGCCATGAAAAAATTCCTGATGAGGAGCCTGAGGTATGCCAAGCACCATCTTACCTTGGTCCTAGTTGGAGCTGGACCGCTGTTTCCGGGAAGAAGATCACTTGGGGCGACGCAACATTTCGAGGCACCGAATCTTTCGTTACCATCGACTTGAGCCGGACTGAATGTGACGTCAGTTCCGTCAGCCCATTTGGGCCGGTGACTTCAGGCCATATATTTCTCACGGGAAAAATACTCAAAGCTAAAGTTGGGAGTTCGAGGCAATGGTACTGGGTAGACAAAGTACCCAAAGACGACCTCCCTTCGCCCCAGCACGTGTTTTATCTTCGCCTCTGTACTAAAAGCCTTACAATCAATAGCTGGGATGATGATTGCGCCCTCATACTTGTTCCTGCGACTGCAAACGACTTGATCAGACAGCGCAGAGAAGTGCAAGTAAGCAAGCATGTATACAAGCGGATTGGCTTAACCAATACGTATCAACATTGGGCTTTGCATCACGAAAGGGATGCGGAGGAAGTTTCGATGTACTTAATCTGATTTCCAAATAGAAACATTGGTTGATGGAGAAAAAAACACAATCGATTGTATAGGATACCTTTTGAAAACTAAGGCCCAAAGTGAACATATGGAACCCATGAAAGCCCACCAAAGTTATCTTCATCTAATTCCACGTCCCGAAGGAACTCCTCATGGTCTATGATATGTGTTGTTCGAGAGTAGGTGCTCTCCGTCAATGAACGTGCCCATATATCCCGTAGTTTTCTAGTCGTGTTGTGAAGAGCACTGGCCACCGCTGCATCCGACATCATCCCCTCGCTTAATTCTTCATATAGTCCTTTTGCCATATGGGCTGAAGTATCGTCGCTTATTTCCCAAAGACTTCCTACTGCATGACGAAATCCGGCGGTTTTGAAAGCCGTTATCAGATGGATGCTTTCGTCTACGAGCTGCTCATGTCGGATTTTTGCTGTTCCGCAAGCCGACAAGTAGGCCAAAAAAGGGCGGGTTTTGGCCAAATTTAATTCATTTATGTTTGATACTGTTAGTGGATTGGTTTCGTGGTCTTTTAATAACAGCTGGCTTTTCGACGGATCGTTCAAATTAACCCTACCGTGGCCGGCGAAATGGAAAATGTTGCAAGCCATCAAGCCGGCAAGAACGTCTTCTCGGAAGGGTTTTGGCTCAAGCATGGTGATGTTCATTGCCATCAATATTTTTTGGACTTCCTGAGTTTCTTGAAGCGCAAAGGGAAGTCTACTGTATCCAGGGGTATTCTCCATAGTTACGAGAAGAGCTGCCTTCGTAACCGGCGCGGCGGTTGGCGGAGAGTCGGATTCCATAATCAACATTCGGAGTGACGAACTATATGAAGATATCACTCGATCGATTACGGTTTCTGGTGGGTATCTTAAGTGATATCCTGCAGCATGTAGCGGAAATCTACTCAGGGGTCCCATCGGAACCCACCAAATATGCGGCCAGTTGCCGTCGGTGTTAGAGCGTTCACTCATACCAAGGGCGTCAAACACGGGGTGAGCAATCGTGTCCCATAGCCACTCTAAGACTGGCGTGCTCCCGAGGTCCATTTGTGCCTTGCTCTTAATTACATCCATCTCGAGTTCTGGTAAAGGAATGGATCGTATCTGGCAAGGTTCTATGATTATTGCGTCACAGCGGATCACGCTGGCATTCACAACAACGATAGGACCACGACGGGCGGCAGCTTTCATCATGGATTCGGTAGGCGGGAGTAAGAAATTGTCGAAGTTAGGCTGATTTCTGATATCAGATAGAATCTCATCGAAAATCTTGTCCGGTCTCTGCTCAGGCAAATGCTGAACTTGGTCTTCTTGCTTGCCGATGCCTACCTTGTGAAATAACTGCTTTGCCTCGACCAATTTTTGAGCCAACTTAGGATGTTGTCTCTTGAGCTCCGGTATGCTGCTCCGCATATCATGAACTGATGTTGTGAGCACACCGCGGCATTGCTCGAGGAAATGCAAGGCTGTCGCCTCGCTCTTAGGAGATGCTAATGCCACTGATGCAGCTTCGCAGCCCAAACCTGAGACACGACGAAGCAAGTCCTGCCTATCAACGCTCTCAAATGTGCCGAATAGTAATGGTCGGATGATATAAATCGCAGATTCTGCGACCTTCAAGGCCTCTTTCCACCGTAGATCGTCGGCAAAAACTCTTAAAAGTTCTCTTTGTGCATGTAACTTGAGCATCAGTGATGTATCTGTATGCCCAATTACGGCCTTCAGGCACCCTGCACACTCATCAAGAGCCTCTTTTTGGCGACCATCCCTGTACTTCTTCAGGTATGCCGCCGCTAGGTTCATTAAGTATCCTGGAGTTTGGTCCTTCCATGCTACATCGATAGCTTTGCGGAGGTGATCAATAGCGCTGTCAAGATCTACCACATTCTTCGTCCTGTCGTACCTAGATATCAGGATGGTACCCATCAAGTTTAAAGAAGCCGTTCGAGAGTAGTCTTTAGCCTGCTGCATTCCCTTTCGAGCCATTTCCACAGCTTCATGGAGATCAGATTCCAAGTTGGTGATCCAATACAGTTCGTAGAGTCTTTTTGTGAGCGTATTTATCCTTGAGCCCATATCATATTGTCCTTCTCGAGTCATGTTGACGGCTGTTTGGGCCAAATCAATCGCTTTTCTGAGATGAGAGATGTCATTCGTTCTTTGACATAGATGGCCAATCCACTCCGAAAGAAAATTTAGACATTGAGCGCGATCAGAAGCGTCGAGATTTTCTTCAAGGGCCGCCTCGCCAAGACTAATGGCTTCCGCTAGGTCCGCAATTTCCCTAAGCTTAAGATAGCGAGAATAAAGTCTTGAGCCAAGATTGACAAGATAGCCTCCCCTCTGCGGATCACTTGGATTTATAGCACCTAGCGCTTCCCGAGAGAGTCGGATGGACTCATTCAAATCTTTGGCGTTCGATGTATGGCATGATCGCCGCGAAAGACATTCTGCCAGGTTTGTGGCGAAACTCGGGAATTCTTTGTCATGAACTGAAAGTTGTTTGAGAGCGTCCCGTTGGAGCCGGACTGCGATCTCGATATCGGAAATGTCCTGTGTGATGACACTTTTGTTGATGAAAAAAAGGCTGAGCCTGGCCATCATCGATCCATCGTGTGAATTGGCGGAGACGGCTCGTTGTCCAAGATGAATCGCTTCTTCCACATCCTCGAGTTTCCAGGTATTTGAAAATTGAAGAAAAGCTATATTTGCTTTGATCATGAGCCATTTAGGCATAAACAAGTGGCCTTGAGGAGTTTCATTGATGCTTTCTGATATCAGATCTGAGGCTTCACGCAAGTCGCTTGATTCTCCCATATTTTCATACCGAGCCGTAAGGAGAGTTGATAGTCGAGCAGAGGCTTCAACTCGGATATCGGAAAGATCTGGCGCTTCCTTTCTTGCCTCCCGCGAGAATTGAATGGCAGACTCTAATGAGCCCCCATCGCCAACTGTCCGGTATCTCACATACAGCAAAAATCCTAATTGAAGTAGCCGTGATGAGCGATCCGAAGGGCCCACCTCTGTGGAACTAGCTTCCTCTTGGGCGAGACTGATAGCGTGGTCCAGATCTTTATGCTGTCCTTCCAACAGGAATCGATGAGACAAAGGATCTGTTAGCGCTTTCGTACGCAATGATCTGTCTGAATGCCCAATAAAAACTGCCCCCCCAGATTCTGAACCGAGCTCTATCGCCTCGTTAAAAGCATGAAGCGACCCGCCGACAGAATGTTTCTGCCCCAGCCATTCAGCAAGACTGCTCTGAAATCGCAACCTTTGGCTGTCTTGCTTGGTAGTTGCGTCTATAGCTTCACGAGCCAATAGTACTGAGGTCTCAAAGTGCTTGTTGTTCCTATACCGCTTATATAGGGCTTGATATGCAGACCCCAAGAGAAAAAGCCTTTCGGGTAGTTTAGGATCATCTTTGCTTGTGTTTTCAATAGATCTTTGGCCAGCCTGTACAGCTTCAAGAATGTCAGACATTTGTCCTCGCTGCGAAAACCTCTCGCGGAGGAGATCACAAAGCATCTCGAGACGAAGTGGGTTGTTAGGTGTATGGTGATGTTCTAACTTTTGGGTCTTTTTAAGCACATTAATTGCCTCCTCTAGGTCTGAGCTCTGACACGTAAGGCTTTGTAGCCTGTACATCGCTGAGCCAAGTTCAATTAGAAGGTCTGTGTAGTCTGGGCTCCCCTTTGGTATGATTTTGATGCTCCTTCGAGTAGCGATGACAAGATCCCTTGTATTTTCAATATTCATGTCTTCAAAATACTTCCTGCGTAGGCTAAGCCTGAGGTTCTTTAAAAAATCAACGAGCATTGGGTCATCGGGCGCCAGTGCTTCCACCTCATCCGTGCAAATCTGAATAGATTCATTGAGGTCACTGGACAATCTTCTCATATTGTATCTGTCGTAGAGAAACAGTGCAAGGTTTTGCAAAATCGTTCTTTTGATTGACGTGCTTCCTATTGCCACGGCCAAGGCTTCTCGTAAGAGGGATATAGACTTATCAAGCTCTTGGGCTAGACCCGTTGTAAGTGCTTTGTTTCTGATGCACACAGACAAATAGTTGACATATTTAAGTCTCCGTCGATCATCGCCAGGCATGAGTGAAAGAATTTCCTCACCAACTTTGATCGATTCATCCAGATCTGATATTGAGCGAGTTTTCGAATACCAGTCCGGGAGCAATGAGGCTAAATAAGTCAGAGCAGGAAGCCGATTTATGTCCCCTGATTTCGTTGAATCGGCCGCCTTTCTAGAAATCTTGATTGCCTTTTCCAGATCAGCCACATCCAGAGTATGCTCATAAACGGCCGTTAGAATACGTGAATTCGTGACAAGGCATGGAATCCAGATTCGTTGGTCCTGGGTGGTGGCTTGGAATGCCTTTTGAATGTAATTAGAAGCGCTTTTTAGGTCTAGGAAATTCTTTTCGAGATAATATCTGTCGACCATCCAATCGGCGAGATAATAAAAGGGACCTGCTTCAGGTGATGTCATAGTAATAGCGTATTCTTCGCCAAGACTGATTGCGAGATTGAGATATCGTAATTCCCCAGTGAGCTCGAACTTGGTATAATATTTGGACATTATCCATTCTGGGCTGCGGGGATAGTCCGCATGGACAAGACCTTCATGTGCTTTCACCGTGTCGTCGAAATCCAGGAGGTTGCCTAAAGCTCCCACCTGAGATTGAGATTCGTTCGCAGCCATGATTGGCTCTTATACATTAATAGTCTGAAGGCAGGAACATGAATGCTTTTCTGGATGGGATAAACAGCAGACACTCTTGAAGATGACGAGCTGAAGAGCGGGGTAGGACTTTTGAAGACTCGATCCCATCTTGACAATGTCAGGCCACTGTCAGCATGTCCAGCCACCCATCATTAAATAAGCAAGCTGTAATGTAAGATTCTGTGGCTTTTCATCAATTATATCAGCTCTCAGTCCCATACTCCAATTTAGTATAAAATCACATATAGTACGTCCGGTTCTCAAGCCCATATCCAGATCTAGAAGCTTCACACGGACAGCCTTATATCGCCTCGGTCTAAAGGTATGAAAATCTACTTTTATAGTCATTTATAATGCAATTATCTATAACGCAAATAGGAGAAATTAAAACAAACGCCATAGCCCTAAAGAGACAACGTCAACGTCCTAAACAGATCGGATATCAACCGAGGTCGAAGGGTAGTCTTTGGACGTGGTAAACAGAATTAATACCCCATTAAACAATTAGCTCTTCGATCAGGCACTCAGATGCCTTGGAAGAATCCTGGTGCTTTTCACAGAGCTCAGCGTATCTCATCAACAGTTTTAGGTACCGACTAATTCCAGACGTCCCCCATCGGCTCCAGATAAATTAGGATGATCATCCATTTCTCTATGCCTGCCAGGATGAAATCGAATGGATCAACTTCGCGTTTTCCATCATAACGCTAAAGGGGTTTCCAATTTCGTCTCCGCGTGACGAAAGGCTCCAATCCTGATTCCGAGCGTTACTCTGGGCTCTTCGAATTTCCGATGCGGAGCTCCTCTTCTCTCATTACCAGTAGCATCGACGAATCCTCTTGGTACGATTTACACAATTTTCATGCAATAACAGAAGAATGCCTGATAAAATGGAAAATTTGGATAGGGTACCCACCAACCGACTAAACATTGTTTCATACGAGTATCTTAAGCAAAAATACGTTCTAGGAAATAAATCGAAGCCCGAGACTTTCAACCGGGTGAAGGGTACGGCGTCAAAGCACGGTGCTGTCTCCGCTTACGAGTGTCAAGTCCGAATATACGCCGCCGGCAATCAACAATGGAGTGCATTTTTAATACTTATGCATTTCCTCACACAAGGAATCATAATTGCGTGGAGATACATACGCTGCCCCATTAAGGGACTTCGTCCAAGCATCCAGCATGGGGCATGGTAGAATATACCCCGAGTCATCATGAACCGTTCCTTCACAATGATTCACTCGGTCCTCGTTCGACCGAATATGAAAATTCCTCGCTATTGATCTGCTGCGCATACCTCCACACTCTCCGCATAGGGCCGAAAATCTAGACTATCAAGCTTGTTCAATAGCTGGTACACCTTTTCCTGAGCCTGGTTATCTCCAACCACCACCCCTGATCCGATCCGAAGCTCAGCCAAGTATGCTGACCCAATATCTCGGATCTTGTGCACTGCCGCGCATCCATTCGTTTCAAAAACTGGCTGTGGAAGGTGGTTGAGAATTTCAAGGACGTCACTACAAAAAGCGTGAAGGCTACGTGAGCATGAGAGGAAGGGGAACAGGCGATGAGGCTCCTCACTGACCTGACAATATCTTGATGCGTGATCCCGGGAAGCAGGGAACCCAGGTGCTGCAGGAAATTGGACTTTATGGAGAGTGCCGTGATCAGAATATTAACCATCTGGACCTCGTGACCCCAAGCTCCCCGTGGGAACCGGGTGAGCCCACCTCGCCACCGTAATTCCGGGCGGAGACCGTCAAGGGCGGTTTGGATACGCTCCATTGCACGCGTCAGTACCTCTTCGGGTGGTTTGGTTGCGATGTCCACCTTGCCCTTTTCCCATATGAGAAATATATCAATCAAACTATTGAGTCCAGGGATAAAGGGGATTTCGTCTTCGGGCCAATTGGGCGCGTAGTTTTTGGGGGTTGAGGAAGGGTACAGATCACGATCCAGAATGGGTTTCGGCCTCAAATGTTCCAGATCCTGGTTGAAAGGAAGAAACGTGAGGTGAGGCTGTCCTCTCAGCTCAGCTCCTCTGCAAGCTGGTCAGCTAAAGAAAGCTCATGGCCTCTCTACCAGAGTAACACTTACACTTGCCACATGAAGAGAAACCAGTATAAACGCTTTAACATCTCTTTGTCCTGTTCCGAATGGCCGTCGCCTCCCTTGAAACAAAGGAGGTACGTAACACTAGTCATGGCCTCCTTTATCCCCCTGTATACTCGAAAATCCTCGGGCCCATGATCGACGAGGAGCGCCGAGGCGATGTTGTACCAAGTAATACACCAATCAAGGGTATATGGCTGTGGCCGTAACAAATTCTCGTCCTCAATAATGCCGATGCACTTCTCCACCGTAATAGCTGGGTACTGTTCAAAACTCTTTCGACGCAAAGTCGAGACCGTTACCGAGCATACGGACAGAACCAGAGCCGCAAAAACAGGGTCCACATCCTCGCCATGGGTATGCATTCGGTGCAGGAGGTGTTGTCGGTGCAGGACTGGGGCGAGAGGATGGACGAACTTGAACCAATCACTGAGGACTCGCTGTATGAGTGGGAGTGGGCCAAGTAACTCCAATGTCGAGTTGACCGACCGCCCGGGAGCTTTGCTCTTGTCGCTCGTAGTCTCTCTTACCGTAACCGGAGTCGGAGGAGCAGGAAGAGGTGATAGGCTCGGCGCTGGAGTGCATACTTGGTCATTTGATGAGGCAGAATGCAACTGAGCCAAGGCGTGACTTGAACACGGGCCAAGTTAGCGAACGATTCAGTCCCCTGCATATTCAGCTCACTTGATCGTGGGAATATATACCGATTGAGCGGGCCTCTTCTCCTCCTAGGCTTGTCCCGCGTGCAGCTGAGTCCGAGTTCTCGGCAACCCTCACAGTCCACTTGAGACTCCAAAACCCGGCACTGGATGGGGCATCAGCCACACAATTTGGAGTAGCCGGGTCGGGGGGGCGGGGGAACTGAACTGACCTTTACTTTTCGATTGCGGCACAAGTCACACGCTTTCTTGGTACGCGGGGTGCTATCCTGGGGCGACTCTTCCGGAGTTACCACGGAGGACGACATCTCTCTCGTCTGGGGTCTCAGGGTTGTCTTGAGGTGGGAATTTGGGGGGAGAAGATGGGGAACGGAGAAACTAAGGAGAACCGGGGGCAGCTGGGATCCTAAATGTCTTCTGAAGGAAGCGTCTCGCAGTATCTTCGGCGTTTGACTCAAACTCTCTCCCCACATGATCCACCTCCACGACCGAGCTGAAGGCGGATGAAGCCTACTTTTGGGTTGGGCTGGTCTCTGTGCCTTGGCTAGGGACTCTGGGGGCCAATAGATGGCAGTCTCTAACCGAATGATCGGTGCAGCGTTGTGCCGAGCCAGCTAATGGTTCACTTCCAGGCTCTTGGGTCAGCTCATCTCCTCTCCTCCACACTCCACTCCCCACAAACCCCAGTCCCCAGATCACAGTTTTGCATGCATGTTGGGTTGGTCGATGCAACCACCACATGGGAAACGTTTCCCCAGACGTGAGTATATAACATCCCTAGGCATCCAAGCTTCATCTTGTCATGCCCAACAAGCTCAACGCTCTGGGATCAGCCGCAGTTCACTGAATCACTGAGAAGATTGTTTTGCCGTGGTGTCAAACACCTAATTCCCCTTGTTTCATCTCCAAATTCCTCCCTTACATTGCGACTCTCGATCAACCAACCCTCCCCGATCATCATCCAGGATGGAAAAGGCCGAAATCCATCAAGCCGAGCATCCCGTCGGCACAAACGAAACCCTCGGGCGAGCGATTCAACAAGAAGAGAAGAACCGAACATGGGCTCAGTCACTCCGCCGCGACCCCTGGCTGCTGTTCTGGGTCGGTCTGATGCTCTGGACCCTCATCGTCCGAGGCTTTGAGAGTCAGGCATCCGGCTCCGTTGTCAGTATCCCCGTCTTCAAACAACAATTTGGTGTTCTCCAGGATGGAGCCTACTTCGTCGATACACGATGGCTGTCTGCCTTGAACGGCGGCGCAACGGGTGCAAGTATCGTCGGCTCCTGGGTGGCCTCTTGGCTGGCTGATATCTACGGCACTAAACCAACAATCATCGGCTTCGCAATGCTTAATATCGCCTCTGTTGGCGTTGAGTTTGGCTCTACTTCGATCGGCATGTACTTTGGCGGAAAGATGGCCAACTTTGTCGCGATTGGAGCGTTCTTGACTCTGTGCACGGCGTATGTCTCTGATGTCGCGCCTCTGGCCATCCGCGCAACCCTCATCGGGTTCTGCAACCTGTCACAGTGCATCGGCCCCTTCGTCGCAGCTATCATGGCCAACTTCACATCCACCTGGACAACGTCATGGGCTTGGAAGTCCTTGATCTGTGCCCAATGGGGATTCGGTGTGATTGCAATCATCGGCCATGTGTTCATGCCAGAATCCCCCGTTTTTCTAGCCTCAAAGGGAAGGTTAGAGGATGCCCGAAAGTCGCTCGAGCGCATGTACACTGACCCTCGAGACGCTGATGGGCACTTGAAGAGAATCGTCCTGACTCTCGAGGAGGCAGAGACGCAGAAATCATCGTCCTATCTCGATTGCTTCAAAGGCACCAACTTGCGCCGAACCCTGATCGCCATCATGGTCTTCCAGTCAGAGCCCAATTCCGGCCTCGGCTTCGTTGGCAGCTACGGAGCTCTCATGTACCAGTATATTGGAGTTAGCGATGCCAAGTCATTCCAGCTCCAAATCGGCGGGCAGATCTTGTCCATCTCTGGAGCCACCATTGCCCTCTTGCTATCTGACTTCTACGGCCGCAGGCCCATGTACATCGCCGGATGCACCGGTGTTTCTCTGTTGCTCATCTGCATGGCCATCTCCGGCTCAGTGAATACAACTGCCGCCGCGACTGCGTCAGTGGGATTCTATACAATGTTCAACTTTTTCTATAATGTCGGCATCGGATCCACCGTCTATGCCATTGCTGGAGAAATTCCTACGTCCATCTTGCGATCAAAGACACTTGCTGTGGCCATCTCATCCTCGAATGCCATGAATACATTCTGGGCTTTCGTGTCTCCCTACATCTTCAACCCCGATTACGGAAATCTCAAGGCCAAGATTGGGTTCGTGTTTGGTGCCATTATGGCAATCTTTATTGTTCTCGGTTACCTCTATGTTCCCGAGACACGGATGCGAAGTTATGAAGAGCTGGATGAGCTTTTTATGAACAAGGTCCCTGCTCGCCAATTCAAGGGCCATGTTACTGTAGCCGAACAGCGTGCAGCAGAGGCCTTTACTGCCGAGGACAAGATGCGCAAGGGCAGTCAAGTATAAGGCGGGCTTCGAGCTCCTGGAACATGTATCTATCTTTCGGTAACCGAATGAAGCTGATTAAATATCACATGCGATAATTCTTCTTCTGTGGCGTGACAACACACATGTCATAAGTACTCACTCTTGACCACTTTGAGATCAAAACTTGCACTCTATAGCCAACCATCGATCACCAGACAGCGGCGACTTCCCATTTCATAGATCTCAACCTGAGGAACCTTTGAAAATATTTCTCAATTAACTTACCTGCCAAATAAAGCAATTACCGGGATGACTCAGCTTATCAGCTGGACAAGGCTTCCATGATCCTCTTCCCCGCTGTCATCAATAAACGGTTCGGTATGACTCTTCTTTATGCTGATTAAGACGTGGGTACCGGAGCCTGAGATGAACTAATTTTTATTAGTTTTTTATTTAGACGTGCGGCCAGCCCCAAAACAAGCACAGGTCCAACAACTTAGCACATCCACAGATATCATCATCTCGAAAATGCAATCACCATTCGCCCTCCTCACCCAAGACCTGATTCTCCTCCCCAGTCCATGGGCAGGCGATGTCCTGGCCTATCGCACCCTCTTCCGCAAACTCAATGCCGACGCTGACTTCTGCCGGGTCGCCTTCGGAGCCGATTTCGAGCCGCTGAAATGGACAGATGAAGAGGCCCGTGACTGGTTCGTGAACCGAGACACGGCTACGAGATGGGCAGTACGCGGCATGGGCGATTTCGCTCTGGGTGTCCTGCCAACTGACGAGAAGACTGGGAAAACCGCATTCCACACAATCGAGGGCCAGCTGCTGAAGAATACCGACGAGGAGGTGCGGAAAGTCACAGGAGATGGGTTCAAGGAGCTCGCCAAGCTTTTCGACCAGGTGCGATGGGCAGGATACACCTGCGTCCGTGAGGCGACAGTAGACGGCCCTGAGCAGACATTGCCTCCCTGGCAGGAGATGATTGAAGTTCGATACGGCACGGATCCCGATTTCCGCGGCCGTGGCATCGCAACCCGGGCGGAGAAGATCGTCATGGACTGGGCGGTGGAAGAGCACGGAGTCCGTCGCTTCATCGCCGAAACGCATAAGGACAATGCTCGGAGCAAGCACCTTCTCGAGAAGCTGGGCTTTGAGAAGATTGACACGAATTACTTCCAGCACGAAACGGGGATCGAGTGGGCCAAGGTCGTGTCCCCTCGAGTTTAGACGAATAACTCAAAATCGGAGACAATTATTTCGAGATTTGATCTCCTGTTTGTCAACAGATGCCTAAATACAGGCAAGATCAATTCAAGGACAGGTGGTATTACTTTGGAAGATCTCCACCACGGCACATGCTAAGCATTTAGGGGGTCCCCTTTTTCTTAGCACTAAATAAAATAAATGAGATTTTCGACAATCAAGTTTCTCCCCTTTCTCTGATCGGCACTTCACCAAATGTTCAAAGGTACAAGTAGGTAGCATTCTTCAGTGTGGCAATGTGCAGGTTTACCGCCAACTCTCTTAAACGCATGAATCCGAAACCGCTGCGGGGTATCGAATAATACATCATGCTGCATAGATGATTAATCAAGCCACCTGCTTCACCTTCCAGTCGACTGCTGACTGGTCACATGAGAACGCGCTTGGCAACACAACAACACAGCCGTGGCTGTGGCGTTGGGCTGAAAACTCAACAGCTGCCAAAACATCAGAGCGATTAAACCATAGGAAAGCTATATTTCTGCCTCCCGCCATGGAGGACCTCAGCCTGGAGTCGGCCATCCGGCTCGGCCACTTTGGCGAGTTCGAGGTGGTGATGGACCAGGATCCGGACCTAGAGGCACCAGTATTTCCTGGTCTTCCCCCGCCGCTGTGCTACGCGTTGGAGAACAACCGTCTCGACATGGCCAGAGTCCTCCTGGACAGAGGGGCGAACGTCAATCTAGACAAAGAGGCAAGAGCCAATCTAGATTTCGGGGGTTACGCGCCTGTTCTTGCCGCCGTCAGGACCAGGCAGGTTGAGCCCGTCCGGTGGCTCGCAGACAAGGGCGCCCAGCTGGACGTGAGCTATCAAGGCATCACGCCCTTGAGCCTCGCGATAGGCACGTCCAGTGTTGAAATTGTTCGTTTTCTGATCGAGAGAGGGGCCGACGCCAACAAGCCCCTGCATGCTGGAACTCTTCTCGGGGCGGCGGTGCAGAAGAAAAACCGAGAGATTGTACAGCTTCTGTTGGACGCGGGGGCCAAGTTAGGATATGATGGTGAGGAAGGTTCCGGGGGTCCTTCTATCCTGGACATGGCCGTCGAAAGCGGCAGTGTGGAAATCGCGGAACTTCTTCTTGAACGGGGAGCAATACGAGATCTTGCAAGGCAGACGGCAGAGACGCCGCTTGTTGTTGCAGCTACTAGAGGCCGTCTCGAGATGGCCAAGCTTCTTTGCCGTCATGGCTGGAGCGTACAGGGCCTGGTAAACGATGGTCTTACGCCTCTTAACACTGCCGCAGATGCTGGTGAGGATCGAGTCGTGGAGTGGCTCATTTTAAAGGGGGCCAAGCTGGATGCCACCACGAGGGGCAGAACGCCACTTCACAGAGCGGCCTTTAACGGCCATGTTCGGACTATGAGGCTCTTGGCCGATGCAGGGGCCGATATTGGGCAACAAAGTGCCGACGGGTCGTATCCTATCCACGTTGCTGTGTTGTCTGGCAACTGGAAGGCTGTTAGGTTTCTGATCAAGCGGGGAGCAGACATCGAGGCAAAGGCGCAAGGGAGACGCAGCCCTCTTCAGTACGCCGCAGACGCTGACTGTTTTAAGGCTGCAAAGTGTCTGCTCGCGCACGGCGCGAGGATAGATGGCCCCGAGCTACAAGATTACTCCCCGCTTGCCATTGCTGCCAAGGGAGGACATCTCCTCATAACTCGGTTGCTCCTTTCCAAGGGAGCCGATGCCCATGTCCGTCGCGAGAATGGCTGGACACCGCTGCATCTAGCTGCCCATGCCGGACATGTAGAGGTCGCGTACGAGTTGCTTGAGCATGGAGCAGACATTGAAGCCACCGATGACCATGGGTCCACTCCCCTCCTCTTGGCAGCTAGATACGGTCAGCTGGCTGTGCTAAACATGCTACAGGATCGTGGTGCGAATCTCCATGCTCGAGGAAAAGCAAACGAAACTTCGTTGCTCATGGCCGCAAAGAGGGGGCGCCACCACCACATAGTCAGGCGCCTCATAACGATGGGACTCGCTCCAAACATAAACACTCCGAGGAACGAAGGTCTCACGCCGCTATTAGCTGCTTCTAAAGCTGGATTTTGGAAAACGGCCAAGGTCCTGCTTGAGTACGGCGCAGACAAGGAGGCGAGGGGTGGACTGCATCAGGTTACACCACTCATTGCTGCTGCACGTAGCGGGAGCATTAAAACCGTCAAGCTACTGCTGGATCACGGCGCAGAAATCGACGTCACCGATGATGGCAACCTCACCCCTTTAAACACCGCCGTAGACTCGGGCTACTTCAAAATGGCGGAGCTCCTATTGCGAAGGGGGGCAAATCCAGACACACCGGACATCGGGGGCTGGACGCCGCTTTTTGCCGCCTCGGCCTCGGTTGGAGCAGACAGGCGACTTGTAGAAAAGCTTTACCGCCTTGTCCCGTTTCAGGCTCTCCCACTCGATAAGAACAACCGATCTCCGGTTTTCATTGCCGCTCTTCGGGGACACCTAGATAACCTGAAGCTCTTTCTCAAGAAGAACTTAGATCTTGCCTTCAAGCCGGACATACATGGCTCGATACCCCTCTCTGCTGCCATCCGGCATGGCCATGCACATGTCGTCATGTACTTGCTCTCACTAAAGCAGGTGTCCCTTGATGCTCCAGACCTGCACGGCAAAAGCCTACAATACTGGCTGGATCGGCATGGAACGGATGAAATCAAGCTTTTATTCAAAGCACTAAACCAAATACAGGACAAGACTGGCTCTCCGGACCTCTTTAGGAGAGTCCTAAAGTTGTGGTTAGAGCGAATTGGAGAAAAGGATGTCAAATCCTTTATTCGCAGCATAGACCCATCCATTCTACGTGAGGAAAAGGCCAAGAAAGATGGCGACGTTCCAAAAGAGGTGCAGAGAGCCAATGATGGATTTGTGTCATGGTGTGACGTCTGCACCCTCAATGTCTTGGACAAACAGCCGTATTTTCTTTGTGAGATTTGTGACAATGGTAGATTTGTGGTCTGTCCAGACTGTGTTTGCCATGGGGTTAGATGCTGGGACAAATCCCATGAGCTGACCTTCACTACCGACGAAGACTTATCAGACAGTTGATGAACTAAGATGGCTAAGATCTCAAGAGATTGTTGTGTAAAAAGAAAATGGTGCTTAGGGTTGGCATTGGACGTATCATTTGCGCTAATGTTGTTCCAACGATTCAAGAGGGCTCGGAGATGGGAGTCAAAATGGATGAAATAAAGGCATTAGCCAGAAAATGCAGAAAGCTTCTGATGCCTTCGTTTCGATTACTTAACCTACAAGACAGACACTAGCGATATTAAAACTAAATAAATCTATGCGGCGAAAGCCATGTTTGGAATGTAGAATGGACAAACCGCGTGTACTGTTTGTACGTCTAGTAATCGTTTCTAAATGTAGGTAAAAATATTGAATTGGTACCAGACCATCAATTAGTCTCGAGAAAGATAAAGTGTGGAATGAAGAAGCAGAAAGAAACGCAGCCATCAGTGCGTTGAGAGCCATTGCTGCAGTCACTTAGGAAGACCCAACTTCAGCTGAAGTAAATCGAGCTTGTCAAGTGCCCATTGCTCTTCTCATTGTCCCGACTCCGTTCAAATCCTGTGGGACCTCTTGCGCTTCCTGGAACATGGACGGGCGGTTGGGGTGTGGCGCGAAGTAGTCGAGGTCGGAGTTGGAATGGGAGTAGTATCAACCGTTGACGACAGTGTGCTTGACACGGGCGTCGCTGAAGTGACGCCTTCCAACAAGGTGCTCGAGCTAGTGGGTGCTGCTGAGCTGCTGCTAGTCGTAGTGAGAGCAGGAGTTTCCGAAGCAGACGGGGACTTAACAGCATCAGAATCATCCACTCGGTACAACAAAGAGCCCCAACCAAGCCCATCAAATCGTCCAGATCCTTCTCCCATAGCGCCGGAGCCAAGTTCAAAGCCACCGTACTCCTCGAGGGTCTTGTTGAGATACGCCTTGGTCCACGGGGCATCGAGTTTCTTCACTCCGACGTAATGATGGTAGAGGAGCTCCCAAGTTGGGCGAGTAGCACCCCGCGAAGCGCTGCTCACTTCAGTATGGGTCACAATGCCATTGGTGTATTCAACAAAGGGTACATCGTTTCCTAGATTGTAACGAGCAAAGTATTCGGCACTTTAGATGAGTTAGTGATATGTGTCTTCTAGCAATGGAAGGCTAACCTACCCCCTAAGGATTCGACTATCATTGTAGGAGAACAAGTCTTCACCCTGGTTCCACGCTTGCTGGCCGATAACTGCGAGGACCTGCTGGTTCAACGCACTGTGGCCTTGGTCGCGGCCAGACTCCTGTCCTTGGCCAAGCGGACGACCGGTCCCTGGTTCATCAACTATGTACACAATGGCATTGTTGATGGCGCCATTACCTGAACCATTCTTGAAGTAATTGATTGCGTAGTCCCATGCTGTAGTGTTCTCGGTCACGACAGCGATGGCCATCATGGACGCAATGTTGGACAGTTCCCAGTTGGCGAAGAAGTGTTTGTGATTATGCTCAGATGGGGCCTTGTGATCAAGGAAGAACTCGTTTACTGCCAAGAACTGACTTGTGAGGAATGTACCGACGGTAGATAGATCTGCCTTAGCGAATGGTTCGTAGTCGCGGAGCAGCTCTGCCGTATTCGCAAATTGATATCCTTGAAGCCCAGCAGAGAGATATCTGTCATCGCCGCCATCAAAACCTTGAAATGTCTCTGCCCAGGCGAGCAATATTTTTCCAGAGGCATCCGCAAAGGCAGTATCGCCAGATATCTTCCATTGCAGAGCCAGATTGAATGCAGCAGCGGCATCCCGCCACATGAGCTCGCCGTTCGAAGGCCGGTCGATCGTCTTAGAGGGGTTGGGTTGATACGTGGAGCTGCTGTACTTGCTGGCCGCGAGCTTTTCCCAAGAGCTGTACCAAGGGTCCTGCTTGGCATCGATGTGTTTCTTGGCGCGGCTTACATCTTCAGTCGTGACGAGCAAACCTGGATGAGTGAAAGAGAGGACATGTGCAACGAGCGAGAAAAGAATGGCCAGGAAAGGCACGAGCATGGTCTTGCCGTGCATTTTGAAGAAAGGAGCGACTAGATTCGGATAAAAAAATACAAGAGCGAAAAAGAATGCGTGGAATTCCTGGATTTGCCAAGAATGATAGATGTTCGAAACACCTTTATTAGGAATCAAGATCAATTATAACCCAATCATTCCCACAACTTGACTGTGAGAACCGGAGTGACTGCCGGCAGATGGCCCGGCCGCCGCAGCGATTGAATGTCACACATCCAAGCGAAATTAAAGGGACCGCCGCTAAGTAGCTGATCGATTCAGGTTCAGTACAGCAACTCCACCGCTACGCCGCTTATTGTTGATTACAAAGTAATGGAAGCATCGGCCACTGTTCTAAATTACTGTACTTTGAAGACCGTTTATTGCTGCATTCCTCTATCGTGTGGAAGGTAAAATAGCAATTTACGGTCAGTCTGGTTGGAGACTACCAGGGGTGGGACACGTGTCTCACAAGTGGTATCAGAATGTTCGTCAGATGTGTCAAATTAAACGCTTGCTCTCAATCCTTGTAGATTACATCATCTCAACCCATCTCGGACCATCTCGGATCAGACCCAGGGGTGGAGTATAGTTGTTGATGTTAGCATACTGGTAACTGGTAGGTTATGATATCGGCACTTACCGATGCAGCGGGACCACCTGATCTTATTCTAAGCGCCGAGCGGGTTTACGAGCAAGTGTCATCACCGGCTACAGCCTCCCACGAACAGAAAGGCGTGCTTCCATCTCGCGATACGCACGGGGACCAATCGATCCGACAGAGGAAGACCGCAGCCATCAAGCAGGTACGATCAGCTGGATGCTTCTAACAGCATTAAAGGGTTGCACCCTCTTAAACGGAACGGAAGAAGCTTGAACCGATCAGCTGATAATAAGAGCATTTCTAACAGCAGCCCCTCAGTGCAACGCTATGCTCTTTCAGCTCACTCTCCTACAAGTAATCACTCAGAGAATAGTTTTACCACTCGTTGCAATAACACGGAACTTCCTGGCATATGGCTGCATAGATAACGTGTCGCCTTAAAGTGAAGGAATTCTAGACGAGTCGATATACCGAGCTACCCCGCGTCTCACCATGAGTTTTCTATTGGATGAGAAAGACGGATCTCCCCAGTCCATATCTGCGAGAAGTGAAGATGATTTTAGGCAACATTATAAGTCCTCATCTTTAAGGTTTAGGAGTGCTCAACCGACCAAAATCTCAAAAGGAAGCCGTTCCATGATAATCCAAGATGAGAATTCTGTGCGTGTGAAGGTTATGAGGCGAAACAATAAAACCCGTTGCTGATGTAGCATAAGGATTCTGAAACGAACGAATACAAGAACGAAGGCGGTCCTCATCATTCGGTAAACAATAAGGTGATGACGGAACCTGATGCTTATAATAACGAGGAATTTCTCGCACTGAAGGAAAAGCTACTGCAAATACATAATAGGCACAGTGAACGGAGCTTTGATTTACACAGCCTTGGAAAGGCTCTCAGGGGCCGATATCAACAACACAATAGTCTCGGCATTCTAGATGATGGAATTCAACTCCTCAAGCAAGTATCCACTGTGTTGCCTAAAGATCACTCAGATCAGATTATTGTGCTGAGATATTTACTCGACCATCTTCACGAGAAGCACCTAGTGACTGCGGAGGTATGGCACTTGGACGAAGCAATCAACCTAATTTGGAAGGCCATGCCCATTTTCCAGAATGATGACGACAATCGAGCTTTGTTGTTAAATGACATCGGGTGGTACAAGGGTATCCGATATGAGAACACAAAAGACATGGCAGACCTTGAGGAAGCGATTCGGATTCTCAAAGAATCATTTAGCTTGATCTCACCTGACCATCCACTCTCGGCTTTTCCAGCAAATAATCTGGAGGATCAGTTTTACAATCGATATGTAAGGCTGAGAGGGCAAGCTCAGCTTGAAGAACTAATACAAGCGACCCGTGAGGCACTTGATAGGACACCAAAGGACCACAAAAACCAAGCATCGCTTCGGGGAAACTTGGGGGCTTACCTCCTCTATCGCTATTACGAGAGTGAATCGATCTCAGACCTTGAAGAGGGAATCAGGTATCTCAAGGAAGCCGTCTTGATACCAATAGATGACAATCCAGATAAAGCAGTCGTGCCACATATGCTTGGGGTTGAGCTTCGAACGAGATTCGATACACTGGGGGACGTACAAGATCTGGAAGATGCAATTCGATATGGCAGACAAGCAGTAGAGATGGCGCCAGCTAACGACCCTCGAAGAGTAGAATACTCAGTCCGCGTCGCGTCTTATCTTGAGGCAAAGTTCGCCACTGTTGGTGATACAAGCAGCTTGCAAGAAGCTTTCTCGATCACCAGAAAGGGAATGGAAACTGAAGTAAGCAATCATAATGATCGAGTCGACATCCTGGATACATTTGCGACTTTAGTCGCATACAAATTTTCAAGAGTAGGCGGCCCAGTCGAGGAGCTCGAAGAAGGAATCTCGGCCGCAAGAGAAGCAGTGAACATGACACCAAGTGAGGATGTTCACCCAGGCAATACAATTAGATCACTGCTGTTGTTGCTCAACATCCGATATCTCATGCTCGGGGAAGTAGCGGATCTGGAAGAAAACATCGAGATAACTAGAAGAGCGATAAACTCAACACCAGAAAACGACCCGGTTAGAGTGGATCACATGCAGGATCTTCAACGATCTCTCATGAGGTTGTACGAGGCTCAAGGATCAAAAGATGATCTGGATGCATCCATACAAGTTGCCAGGCAAGGGGTGGAGGTAGTCCCAGAAGACCACCCCGGCCGAGCGAAAATTTTCTATACTTTCGGCATGGCCTTGTCCATGCGACACACGATTGATGGAGATATGCATGATCTCAAGGAAGCCATTGATGCATTTCAAATGGCCCTCCGCCAGTCAAACGCGCCTGCCTTCGACCGCATCAGGGCTGGCAGGTTAATTATGTACAATAGCCCATATCCCCCCCAAGCTTACCGTGCGGCACTTCTTACTATCAGCATGATCCCAAAACTCATTCAACGGACTCCTGATACCGCTGATAAGCTGCATATCCTCGCCTCGGTGGTCGGTGCTGCCTCGGAAGCAGCTGCCGCTGCGTTAGAGGCTGGCATAGAACCTAGGTTCGCGTTGGGACTTCTCGAGCAAGGTCGCCATGTGCTACAAAGCTCTCCAGGGGAGACGATGACTGGCATTATAGACCTGAGAGAAGAGGATCCAGAGTTAGAACGAAAATATTTCGAGCTATTGAACGCATTGGACAAGCCAATAGATGCCGATCATGTCTTCAAAGAGATGGAGACAGATGATGATGCGTTCAACAAGTACTATGATTTCCTTGCCAACATGCGCAAGATTCCCGGATTGGAGAATCTATTTGTCTGGTCGGACGACAAATCAGTTCGTTCTGTTGCGAAGCGAGGCCCAATCGTAGTCATTAATGTAACATACTATCGCTGCGATGCTTTCATCGTCACGGAGCATGAAACTAGATGTCTGAATCTAGGTGGTATTACAGGCGAAGACATTGAAGACAGGGCGGAAGAGGGAAACTTGGCAAGCACTGAGGTCCTGGAGTGGCTATGGGACGAGATTGCCCAACCGGTTCTCAACGATCTAGGATTCACGGAGTCTCCTTCTGACGACGAAAGTTGGCCTCGCATTTGGTGGATTCCGACAGGGCTTTTGAGCCGGTTTCCACTCCACGCAGCAGGATATCATACCGACTTTTCCGGAAGAACTGTGTTGGACAGGGTAGTATCGTCATATGCGAGTTCTATCAAATCTATACTGCACCATAAACAGGGGCCTGGCCCGCTGCCAGCGTCACCTCGGGCGCTGCTAGTGGCCATGGAGAACACACCAGAACACGGCAACCTTCGGTTCACCACCCAGGAAATAGAGGCTGTAAATCAAGTTTGCCAGTCGATGAATATCGATATCATTGAATCGGGGCGGCAAAAGCAAGATCTTGTCCAACATTTGCCAAAGTGCAGTATCTTCCACTTTGCTGGTCACGGCTCGACGGACGGAAATGATCCATCCAACAGCCGCTTACTATTGGATGACTGGAGGAAGGATCCGCTGAAGGTTGCTGATCTTTTGGATATGAAGCTTCACGAGCTCTCTCCGTTTCTGGCCTATCTCTCAGCTTGTGGAACCGGACGGGTGAAGCACGAAGGGTTTGTGGACGAGGGTGTGCACTTAATGAGTGCGTTTCAATTAGCTGGGTTTAGGCATGTTATTGGCACATTGTGGGAGGTGAATGATGAAGACTGCGTACATATGGCCAGGATTACCTACGAGGGTATTAGGAATGGCGGGATGACGGATGAATCAGTGAGTATGGGATTGCATCGAGCAAGTAGGACTCTACGGGACCAATGGCTTCGCCCGTCAGTTTCTGGCCAGTCCAGCAATCGGGCGTTATCGCGGCCAGATGGTACCCTCGGTTTTGAATTGGACGTTACAGGTGGTATGGCCCATGGCCGGACAAGAGATACTCAACAGCAGAGAGACATTTTGCTTGTTGGTGATGAAGATTTAGGGTTTTCTCATTGGGCCCCATATGTTCATTTTGGTGGATAGTTAAGTATTAGATAAATATATATTGAGAGCGGGTAGAATAGATATCTTATTGGTATTAAATTTAGAGAGCCTAGTAGTAAGTATACTAATAAAGATTAGGAACAGCCATTATAGTATAAGATACTTCTGCTATATATCCTTATTCTAGAATAGACAGAGAAGAAGAATTAAAGGTAGTATATATCCAACTGTAATACTAAGGAGGAGGGCCTTTAAAACCTCCGTTAGTATTGTTCTGCCCGTATTTACTCCGCAGATCTATCACACATTTTATAAGCGCTTTTTTTTTTCAATCAAGGAATTCCAGAGGCTCGTAATGCGATGTCCTATCACAAATCAAAAGGGTTATTTTCTCTATTTACTCAACTCAAGGCTCAATTCTAGGTAGGTAATTAAGATGGATAAACCATCTTAGCAGATAATTCAACATAGGTTTAATCCTCTGCATTGGTTGACTTAAGCAGCTTTGCGTAGTGTTATGGCTCAGTTTTAGGCTTTATCATAGGCTAAACCTGCAATCATGTTCCATTGTATGCGAGCTTCAGGGCTTCAGATAAAAATGGCATGTAGTCAGCAATCTGCCCACGTGATTGATTTCATTTACTCCTCATTGCGTCAGCTGCCAACAAGTGGCTCACAGCATCGTTCTCCATCAAACATAATAATGGCGCATCGACTATACTACCTCATGAATTACTTGAAACTGCTGGCTCATGATACGCCGGCACATAAATCGTTGAACGGGTAGCAATGGGGAGTCAAGGCATTTACCTCGCAGCATTGCAATGCGAAACTCTCTTTGAACAGGATATTGCTGAGCTCCAGAGCCGACAGGACAGGCTCAACAGCAAGGGCATTATTCTAGCTGAATTCCTCCAAAACAGTCATGCCAGATTCAGTGCATGGGCTTCTTATATGGGTGTCTTTGCCGACCCAGATGTGTCGCTCGATCAACGTCTGCGAATAAGCGAACTTATTCAGCAAATGGTGCTGGATATGCTTGAGGTATTACGCAGCAACTTAGATCTATGTACGAAATTCTCGAAATTTACACTATGCATAAAACTTTCTAACTCGGGCTACGCTCTAGTAAAGCCTCTTGTGAACCAGATGATGAGAAACCTGTTGGAATATGAGAGTTCAAGTCTGCACGGCTCAGATATACACGAGCTGGAAAATAAGATCCAAAAGATAAAGGAGTCCATCGATGGCTCCGTCAGCCGTCTCCATCGACTCGGTGCAACGATACGCCAGTCATCTACGGCAGGTCTCGCCTCTCGGGTGAAAGCGTTTACAGCAAAAAGATCGACAACCTCTTTGGAGAAAATCACGGCCCTCATTGTTTCAAATCTCCACCCTGGTGCCTCAATGGACCTCCAGAAACTACTCAGTCGCTCCATTCTCGATCGGTATTTCCGGCTAAAGTACAAACAGCAACATCAACGGCACTTATCACAGCGGAGAGCTATGCCCAAAATCGATGAAGCCGGTTCAGTCCTAGAGATAAGCAATGAGAAAACCGTCGAGTTCCAACCCAAAGTGCTTCCGATCCGGAATCCTCGTGAGTCGAAAGAACAAGCGCCATCAAAATCGCATGGAGAGCGCTCGAAACCATCAACTCTCCAAGAAAGTCAGGTTTTGAATGCTATCGGAGGTACAGAAGCGAGATCCGTCGCTACAAGCGCTTCCACAGTCCCCATGACAGACATTCGATATCCGAAGCCTCCAAAACCTGAAAGTCCATGGGCAGGCCTCAGTTCGTGCGACTGGTGCGCTATGGCTTTCAAAAATGCAAAATTCAAGGATTCGCGATGGTGGAGGTTTGTTTCCAACCTAGGATCCCCGCACCGGTTCCGGTAACATCTGGTTAACGTGAAATAGAAAGCACGTAGACCACGACCTGAAACCGTATATCTGTCTCGCCAAAGAATGCTCAGATAAGGAAGTAGCATTTGGCAGGTACAGTGCGTGGAGATCTCACATGAATCAGGCACATTCCACTTCATGGATCAAGCATGTTTGCACTGAGACTCAATGGAAATGTGATTTTGATGATACCATGCACCATGACGAAGAGTCTCTGAAGATACATATGAAGGAGTCTCATCAAGATCTCCTCTCGGAAGAACAGATCTTCGAAGTCGCGTCCTGGAGTGCGGTTCCTGTCCAGCCAGATACAGAGAGGTGTCCTTTGTGTCAATATTCGCCCCTAGCAGAGCCTAATATACCTAGTGCAAGTGATGAAGAACGGCAACCGTCTACGAGCCAGTCTAAATCTCTAGGCTCTTCTCTTCGGAGACAGCGGTCCGCTGGAGGCAGGCGCAAAAAGCGTCCCCGGGTCCGGTTTCATGACAGTCAGCCCATCGAATTGGAGGATTCAGATGCCGAGTCATCGGGAAGCACGGAAGTGGACGACAATGAAAGTTCCAAACGACCATTGAATAACGGAATTCGGTTGGAACGGCATATATCTAGCCATCTCAAGGCACTTGCTTTTATGTCTCTACGTCTCGACGCATTCCAGGCGAATGAAGATGGTGAGGACGATGAAGATGCGGGTAGTCATAAGTTCCTAGACGACACTAGTGGAAGCGGCGACATCAGTGGGTGGGACAGCAACATCGATGCCATGTCTCTAACATTTGAAGATGTTGGGAACGAAATTGAGCTTCCACCTGTCGATGGCATTGGATCGGACGGTGATTGGTACGGTACAGATGGTTTGCCTGCTCTAGGCGAGATGGGAGAGCTTTCGTCGTTGTTTCATCCAGGTTTTCCGCTTCGGCGATCGCCAAGATTTCAACTAATCCCAACTGACAATGGGAAGTTTAAAGTTGTATGGCCATGGGGGGAAGAGGACTTGGATTCTGCAGTTTATCCCCGACGATAACAAGGAGAGAGAGGGTTTCACCTCAAGATGTATGCCATATACATCTTCCCCCAACGATTACTAGCTAATGAAATGTTACGGGCCTCGAAGCCTCCGAGAAGACCTAATCAATTGCAAAATATATTAATTAAAGTATGGATTGCGAGCTTGATGCAGTCCGGACTGAGCCCATAAAACATATTGAAACAAGCCAGTCAGAGATCAGTAATAGAATCATTTCTAGAACGTTCCTAGTAAGCTATTCCAACGAGCAGCATACATACCTCAGTGTGCTCTCGGGCTCTTTAGAAATAAATCACACGCCATGATATTGTCAATTCATATTTGCTTCTAATAGGTCGCTTTTTATGGGCCTAGTTATGTCATCTAGATGTGAGGTTGTATTCTTCTCAGATAAACCCGCATCTTCACTCTCAACACCCCTCTCCACACCCTGCATGGTCCCGCGAAGCCCGCATATGACACACAAACGGAGTCCTTAATGGAATCAACAGACTGAGGCATGTCAGTCAGAATATTTGACCTCGAAGAATGGCGCATATTGAAGGCCGCCCAACATTTTATGTTGAAAGCGGTTGAAAGCACTCTTGCTGACACGACGACACCAAGCCGACCAACCGGGATCAGTACCGACCAGATTGACAAGTTGAGGTTTCTCCGTTATGAATTCATGAAATTGGCAATATCAATTGAATTTGACAAGGAGATTCAGCCCCAAGTCGCAGCCCATTTTAAGAGTGAGACCTACAAAGTATTCTCTTATCTCGAGACTGTTCTCGTCACCCAGTTGCTTTCCAGCCGGCCTGCTAAACATCATAAATTCCCTGCGTTGTGGGAACTGGAATACATTTTCTCATCTAGCCAAGGAAGAGAAGCCCCGACACTAAGCGCTTTGCTGGTTCTCCCGCATCAAAATCTAGACAACTGGTTCGCTATCCTCGATAGGATTACTGCCTTCAACAAAACAGCCGAGAATCTCTTCTGGGCTCCTCCATTGACATCAGTACCTTCTTTGGGAGATTCCCTACAAGACACTCTCAGTGCAGGACTTGTTCGAAAGAGCGGGGTGGAAACCACGTTGGAATGTCTCGAGCAACATTTCTCAAAGTGTCCTCGCCAGCCCGGTCAAGAGCATTGCATATTGCTTCAAGCTTCTCGCAAGAAGTGGAATGCTGAAGATACCACTGATACCACTGATGCACTGTTTCTTTCTTCCTGTGCCCACCCTTCTGCGTGGCAGGAAACTAAGTGTTCGCACCATGAGTCAGTACATGTTCTTCTCAAATACGTGCATCGATGTCGATATCTTCAAACTCTGACGATTAATCTGAGCCAGGTGTTTGGCAAATTCAGAGAACTCATACATCATCGCAGATATCTGCGATTCGATAGCAGAATGTCTGCAGTACAATGATCCACTTCACCTTATGACTTTGAATAACACGCTATACAAAATTGATGGAGATTATACCCCAGGATTAGAAGCGATCCCAAAAAGGACAATCCAATATCTGCTTGATCATCAGATGTTAGTCCCTTGGAGCGCGACGGTTGAATCGTCTGCTCCGTTGAAAATACGGGATAAGAGGGAGTTAGCCTTGAATCTAGCCTGGTGTTTCGTGCACTTGTTCGACTTCAAGTGGATGGAAACCGGCTGGTCTGCAGACCAAATCTATGTCCTATCTTCGACAGCCGATGATTCAGCCCCCATGATCGCTGAAATCCCTCCCTATATTACTTGTCAACAGCCGAATAAGGAAGAGCCCAAGCTGCAACCAAATATGGGCAAACTTTTCACCGGGTCGGTTTTCTTATCACTAGCAAAACTATTGGTCGAAATCGAAGTCGGGCGAAGCATAAGCATCGAAGAAAAGGACAAGTTTGGGAATCCCAGTTTGTGGCTAACCATTCGGAAACTTATCAAAGAAAACCAGCTATCACTAGCCTGTGATGATTACATCTGGGCTATTGACGGATGCCTTGATCTTCACAGGAACTTCGATCGGCTGGTTCGAAATAAGCCCGAGTCAAGCCCCGGAGAGATCATCTATAAGAATATTGTTACGTATCTCGAGAACGACTGGAACAATTATCAGAGGAAAACCTTGAAAAGGCGTCGTAGTGAGCAGAGCCTTGATGGATCGTATTCTGGGAGCAAGGGGCGCAAGAAGGCAAATCTCGATATTCGTGTGAGCTCGCAAGCCCAGATTCAGGAAACTCCTTCTGCGGTTGATGTCACTCCAAAGCGACTTCGGAGCCGTACCAAATCTCTCGAGGTAGATCACGAGCTCGAAAAGCGTTCAATAATTTCCAGAGGTAAGTATCAAGAGATCGACAAATTACAGGCAGGCAGACTTATTGAAAGCTTATGTTCTAGATTCTTTCAATGTGGAAATACACTCGCCCCCTGCCTGTCGGGAAGAATTCGAAATTGCGATAATATGCGCGCTTGGGCATGAATATACGGCCGTGGAGGATATTATTGACCAATTCTGGGATGATGACGGGGATAATTACGGTAAACTGCAGGGAGATCCAAACCACTACACCACTGGCCGCATTGGACACCACAACATAGTTTTGGTACTTCTACCTGAAATGGGAAAGACAAACGCAAGCAGTGCAGCCAACAGCATACGCCTCAGCTACACCGGTGTGAGGCTTGCGCTTGTTGTTGGGATATGCGGTGCGGTGCCCAAAAACGGGGATGAAGATATCATGCTCGGCGATGTAATTATTGGTGAGAAGGTCGTTCAGCACGACTTTGGGCGGAGATATGGCGACAGATTCTATCGAAAAAGTCACAACCTTGGAAAGGCAAACAAGGAAGTCAGCAGCATCACTGGGAAATACAAGACGCCCCGATCAAAGAGGAACGTCGAAAACCACGCTGCGGAGATACTAAAAGACCTGCAGAGTAGGACTGTGGCCCAAGGCCGCCAGGGTGATTACGATGACCCAGGGTATGCTTCAGATAGGTTATTCAAACCCGATTATCGCCATCGGCATACGGTCTCTCCATCTTGCATCTGCGCAAGCTGCCTCAAAGACGCCGATCCCACCTGCAGCGTGGCTCTAGTCTCAACATGTAAAGAGCTTCAATGCGACGAAAAGGAGATGATTCACAGGGAACCACGATCTTCATCTACGAGGACCCCAATCATACACATCGGCGCCATCGCATCTGGTGACACCGTGATGAAATCCGGGATCCAAAGGGATACGATTGCGAACGAACTAGGCGTCATAGCTTTCGAGATGGAGGGCTGTGGTGTCTGGGAGGAGTTGCCTTGTCTTGTGATCAAAGGCGTGTGCGATTATGCGGATAGTCACAAAGACAAGGCTTGGCAAAAGTTTGCTGCGGCATCTGCTGCATCGGTTGCCAAGGCAGTAATACACAGATATATCAAAACTGACAAGGCCAGTGGAGGTTCGTCTAGAGGCAGTGAGCTCTCAATGGGAGACAGGTGGGAGACCAACACTAATGGCAGTCATATTTAAGCGTTAATAATCAATTCGACCGCAAAAGTACAGTGAAAACCCTTCGAGCGTCTCTCTTGGTGCCTTTTCCATGCTTCAATGTTATTGATCAATTCTATCCAATGTGGGATAAACAACCCGGACTGGTCACTTCAAGCCGGCCAGCAAGCTCAGCCCATATCTTCTCTTGTAGCTGCTGCCCGTCCTTGTTGGTAACCCAGTCAGGCACCCAATAGCTAATGCAGACCTGTTAGCCAGCCCAAGTTGTTTTATCAATATTGTATTGGACTTACTCCTTGATCTTACAGCCAGCCAGAAGCTTTCCGTGGCTTTCTTCGCTCGCCACTGCGCCAAAAAGAATAGCGCGGCTTCCTTCTTCCGCCGTTCTAGCCATCATGGCTCGTGCAGCGTTGACCCAGATCCGAGTAAATGTACGTGCGTCGTGGCCTAGTCCTGTCGAGCATAGACCCGGAGCAGTCATGTTTATAATGACGCCGGTTTCTGTTACTGGGTAAAGGCTGGCAAACTGTCGAACTGCGAACATCTCAACAAGCTTCGTGACGGCATAACTGTGAGTAGTATAAGTATTAGTATGTTGTGTATCGGCTGCGGGCGCGATAAGCGCGCTTGTCTTACCGTTTATCCATATCTGCTCGTTTAGGGTCGTTAAGTCCTTCAAAGACTACACCATTGACGCTTTTATCCAGTTCTTTCTTGCTCTGGAACCCCAACGTGCTGACAACGAAGACGAGCCGAGGTTTGTCACCCTCCTCGGAATACTTGCGACCGCTTCGCGCGAGAACTGGCATCACCAAGGCCCCGAGCAACATGGTACTGACGACATTTACGGTGACTGTGGTCTCCAGTCCCTCTGCGGTAGTCCATTTGTCCACCATAAGGCCAGCGTTTGAAATGAGGCAGTCGAGCCTTTCAAGCTCAGCGACCTTTTTGGCGAAGGTATGAATTGAAGCGAATGAAGCAAGATCTAGAGGCCATACGTCGATGACTCCCTTAATTGGTGACGACTTCTCAATGTCTACCTTAGCCTTCTCACCTGCGGCGACGTTCCTGACAGCCAGAATGACCCGCGCGGCGGAGGCATGAACCAGATGCCGGGCCGTTTCTAGGCCCAGGCCAGTGTTCGAGCCAGTCACAATGTAGACCTTTCCAGAACATGTCTTCTCGTTCACAGGAACGGGAAGCTTCTGATAGAGCTCTAGGCTGGCTTGCAGAGTCGACATTGTGTAATCTTGGGATGAAGAGAAAGGGGGAAAGGAGTTCTATGCTGAGTTACTATTGATAGTTGGGGCATAAGCTTCGGACGAGAAGGGGAGCTTTATAGTTTTTTATCAAATCCTTATTTCATGTTTTTGGTCGTCCAGACATCCCAATCCCTTTGCTTGAAGTGCGACCGGGTTGCATCACTTGGGCAAGGGTATCGTAGGGCCAATGAGAGACTTATTTCCAAATCCGTACAAGCCAACTCCAATCTCACCACGCCAAAAAGAGTCCGTAACTAGAGCCCGAGACTCCGACTGAACTTGCTAGTTAAATAGGATGCCCTATGTTATCAGGAAATCAGTTGCTGACGGGAAGAACATCTGTGAGTCTCAGCTTGAACGAGTATAGCAAGGTTGCATAGTATATATCAATTAAGGATTGACAATTATAATTCCAACAGGGTGGAGGCGAAATGTGCAGGACTGGCCGGCTTCAGTGGTGCCGTCGAGCCAGAGAATCAGGAGGCGCAGTGAGCTCAACATGAAGTGACGGAAGCTCTAAAGCTTTACTGAATCAATCCTTCCAAAGAGAGGAGTCGAAATATTCGAAACTCCATGGACTATTCTGGGATTCGCTATACCGAGTCCTTATTTTCTGTGGCCCCTCAATGTTCATCCCCCTAGCCAAAACTCTCATCATTTCCCTCGTCTCCTCGTCAGATTCAGCACCATACAAGGCTCCGTATATTATGGACCGCAACATCTCGAGTTTCTCGGAGCTGAAGCCTTCAGCATCAGCATCGATGTCGGACATGAATTGCTCATAATTGAAAGTACGGGTCCAGAATCCCTGGTGAACCTTTGCCAAGTATTTCGAAGGTCGCTCAGCGGGCGGTCCGAAGTAAGCGGCTTCCTCGACAACCCATTCGAGATGTTCCCATATGAGCTCCAAGCCCATGGAACTGAGGATCTCTGCGCCACTGCGCGAAAAATTGCCCCGGGCGCTGCTCTCCGAGTGCTTGGTGCCTTGAATAGCTGTTTCCAGAGCCTTCACCCCGCCGGCATGCGCGTCAGCCAACAGTTGGAGGACGCCTTCAGTTCCCCGCCACGCGGGATAGGAATACTTTGCCACATGCGGTGCATATCCTATGGCCTCAGGATCGTTCGCCCTGACCTTGATGTTGAGTAGCTTGCCTACAGCAAAGAGCTCGGATATGAAGTTCTTGTCCATGACATTTACAGCAATACTGAGCTCGCGGATCCCGTGGATCATTTTCTGCTGTATCTTCAGGAGGCCCGCGGTGGATTCCTGGTACAGATGGGCCGACAGCGGGCTCCGAACCACCTTCTTCTCTATAACATTCTGAATTTCAACAGGGAGAGGAGTCCGAGAGAGGGCCTTCCGGGCCTTGATCACATTGATGACATCAACCAGAAGTTTCAGTCTTAGCAGCAAAAGAGCGACCAGGCGCTCAAGCATGCGATCTTCGCCGATGATGAGCTCTGGGTACTCAAAGACATCAGTCCCTTGGACATTGGCTAACGACGGGGTAGGGAACCCCCATTTCTTGATGAAGTCACAGCTTTCCTGGTCGAGGTCCAAGCAGAGCATGGCGTAGGGGATAATAAGGTGGGCATATTTATCGTCGAAGTTATCCAGCCTAATCATGTCCTGCATGTGCCGGAGGGCCAAGGTGGTGCTGTCGAGCGTGCCCAGCATATAGAGATGCCTCACCGCGAAGTTGTATCGGGCCTTCATATAATCATCTGTACGTGGGAAGTCATAGAAGTTGCCCACGCCTGCCTCGAAGACATTCGCCGGCATATCTCCCTCCGCCGGGAGGTTGCGGACAAGTGCTGTCTCCTTTCCCAGCTTGACGCGAGCCTTCTTGATGCCGTTGCAGGCGGATTTGTGGTTAGGAAGGTCGGCTTTCAGGTGCTTTATGTTGCAATAGCGTACTGCTAGGCAGCCACGGCATCGTAGAAGCTTCTTTCCTGCTTCTACGGCGTTGCACTTTTGACAGCGGTGGACGAGGGGTCCGGCGGGAGCGGGGTCACTCATAGCAAACGTATCTATGGCGGTGATCAAAGGAAGACTACTCTGGTGGAAAATAGATATACAGACCAAAGAGCCGGTTGACTTGATAAGTATATACTCGTAGTATTGAGGAGGTGCGAAATGGACTGATTTGGGCCTGATCAGACAGCGGTCTGGGCCAGCGACCACGTGACATGATGCAAATTTTGGCAGCTTAATCCCCTTCGCCAGCGAGATGCATGCTCCCTTTTTTTGCGTTGAATCAAAGGCCAAAAGGGGAATCCTTTGGCTCATCCTAGCCAGGGTTCGCGGAGTTTCAGTGCCCCATCTCCGGAAATATGGAGTGAGTCACGCCGTCAGCACAGGTAATAAAACTCTCACTTTACTTCCCAACGCTCAAGGCTTGACGGAAAGTAATGCTCATCTCTTGCGCCTGACATTCGGCCACCATGGAGCTAATATATGAGACTGCGAACAGCGATACCCAGGTCGGGGGCCAAAAACCCTCTTCACTCACCGACCTTCCAATTGATATTCTAGTCTATTTGCTTGATAACTTTCTACACCTCGAAGAGTGGAGAAAAGACAAGTTAAATTGGGACGAACCCTGGGGGGTACATGCCGCAACTGAAGGCTTGCAGACCATTCAAAACCTACGCCAAGTATGTCGCCTGTTCCACGACCTAGTATCGCCGCTCTTGTGCAGGAGACTGCGTATCCATCTCGATCCACAGTCATTGGACCAGGCTCGCGGCATATTGAGGAATCGAGCCATCGCCTCTGGCGTGAGAGGCGTCCGAGTCGCAATCCCGTACCGGCCCAAGGAGCTTGCTTTGAATCTATCCTCGTTCGTTGATGTTCGACTTAAACAACTGGCAGAACCATACCATGAAATCATGAGTATCCTAGACACACGATGGATGAACGGTGATCCAGATGATACGCAAGACGAAGAGTCATTCCCACGCGAGAGGAAAAATTATCATGATATTTTATTTAGTTGGCGACCTCGCGAAACTAGCACCGAAGATGCAGCCGACTCCGGGGCATTTGTGTACAAAACTCACAAAATTGAGCCTGCAGTGCGTGACGAGTATAAACAGATTCTGCTCCAAGGTCACGAAATCTTCAGAGAGCGATACGAAGCCCAGCAGAAACTTATTGAGACTGGGCTTTTCGTGGAGACTATCGCAGATTTAATTCGCCAAATACCAAACACGGTGTCTTTGAGCTTGGTGGATAGGTTCCCACCCAAATCTTACCGCGAGAGGAAGGACATTTCCTTGCTTGTAAACAAGGAAGAACTCTTACCGTTTCTGACCTCCCCATTCAACTGGTCGGATCTTTGGACCATGCCAGATCCACCACAACTTATTCCAGCTCGAATTCTGACTGAGCTCCCAATAGCCATCCACAAATCGGGGCGGAGTCTGCGGCATCTCCATCTCGGCTGCATCCCAGTCGAACACGGCTTCGAGCAACTTGACCCAGGCACAGATGGCTTTTCATGGTCCCAATTACGGGAGGCCTGTCAGCAGCTAGAGGTGTTTGATCTTAAGGGCCCCCAGATGAATCTTCTTCCTTTTCGACCAGAGAGCATCCCTCTTCCGAGTCGACAATTCCTCGTGGAGTTCTTCGGCGCAATCCTTTCCAGTAACAAGCTTCAAGACGTTAATCTTGGCTTGCTCTGTCTGGGTGTGAACAATGGCAGAGATAACGATAGAGAATGGTGTCCCCTGGGTGCCATCTTTCGAAACATATCCTGGCCAAACATTCGAAAGGTCCGGGTCTCGGATATAGGTTTCTCACAAGACGAACTTGACCAGTTTTGCAGTGGCCTTGGCTTTGGTCTTGAGAAGCTAAGTTTAGGCTCCTTTCAGTTGAGAAGTGGAAGCTGGGTGGACGCTATTGACATGCTACACGAGAGAGTCGCTGTCCGACACGCAACCCCAGGCTTTTGGTGTTATTTTTCCGGCATGATAGGGGGTGAATTTGGGGGAGGAAAGAAGACGGTGGATATTACTAGGGCTCTAATGATGGGCTACATACAAGACGAGGTCCCGAAGAGCACGGCGCGAATGGGGAGAAAAGCAAGGAAGAAGGCGATGAAATATGCCAAGCGACCCCCGAGTCTTGTTGATCTTGCAAAACAGTACATTACTGGCCAGGGAGTAAGATGTAACCCTCTACGGCCGACCACATAATTTGGTCGCCAGTATGATTTATTTCTCAACCGATCCTAGCCTTGACTTCAAATTTCGACACCTCTCCTGTATGCCTAAAGCTTGGGGTCCGGCTGTCGCGTGAGACTTGTCCGATTTGGCTCCGTCTACCGGCTGTAACGGCACAAAGGTCACTAGGATTGGAGAACTGGCATCTATACCCCGACACTAGAGGCGAGATCAAGCTTAGATCTACCGATTATTTACCCTCACGTTTAGGGATGACACTGAGTGCTCCGAGTCCGGAACCATCATCGGAGGGATGACGTGACAGCAGTGGTGGAGTTTGCATCAAGATGAGGAACTTCTGCTGCATTTATATTAGAGAACCAGTCGAGCCCTCACTCTCCAACTTCTCCGCATCATTGTTCAAGAGCATCTGACGAAGTAGTCCATCATGACGACGCAGCCAGCCGTCCAATTGAGAGATCTCTCCCCCGCTGCAGCTCGGGAACACGACTCTTCCAACATCATGCACGATGCGTTCGAAGCCAGTCAAGACGAAGGATCAGCTACAAGAGCGAGAGAGTCAAATCGCCAAAAAGCTCTCGTGATCTTGGGCACTGCCATCTCGCAGCTACCAATCTGGGGTGAATGACGCCAGTCGCGAACAACTCGCCTGGGTTTCTACTAACATGTAATCAGGCTTTGCGATGAGCTATGGTGTTTTCCAGGAATACTTCTCCGGCAACTGGACCTTGCAAGGCAGCCGAGACGTGACCGGTATCATTGGCACGACCTCCAACGGTGTCATGTACTTGTCCATGCCCTTCTTGTTCGCCCTGTTCACCAAGCACTGGGCTCATTGGCGACAAACCGCCGCCTTTGCCGGCGCCGTGCTCGCCGGTCTCGGGTTTCTCTTATCCTCCTTCAGCACCCATGTCTGGCACCTCGTAGCTACCCAAGGTGTCATCGCTGCTCTAGGATGTGCTCTCATGTACAGCCCCATGACGCTGTCTCTCGGAGAGTGGTTCACCACCGGCAACCGGGCCCTCGCGTACGGCGTCGCCCTCTCCTGCAAGAACATTTCCGGATCCGCCTGCCCATTCCTCTTCCGCTTCCTCCTCGAGCAGTACGGCCTCGGCACCACGATGAGAATATGGACGGCGATGGCCGCCGTGTCCGGGGCCGTCTCCATCTTCCTCGTCCCGGCGCATCCATCCAGCCTGACGCCAACGGAAACGCACCGCGCGCGGAGGATGCCGCTGCACTTCCTCAAGCACAGGACCATCTACGTGTACGCCATCGCCATCGCGCTCCAGAGCTCGGGTTACGGCATCTCCCAGACCTACCTCAACACGTACGCGCACGACTTCACCATGCTCTCACAGAACTCTGCCACCCTGCTCCTCACGCTGTACAACATCCCCGGGATTCTCGCGTCGTCCTTCTTCGGGTACCTCGCCGATACTAACAAGCGATTCGTCCTTTCCACGACGACCGTCACGGCGATATCGGCTTTCGGCTCCGCGCTGTCGGCTCTCCTCTTCTGGGGTCTGACGAGCAAGGGGAACATGGCCCTCCTCGCCGTGTTCTCCATCACCTTTGGCTTCTTCGCGGGCGGGTACAGCGCGACATGGGGCGGCATCATCACCGATTTCGAGCGCGAGGCCGCCAACGGGAACGAGGCCATCGACTCAGGGCTCATGTACGGCCTGCTGAACGGGGCACGAGGCGTGGGCTACGTGAGCGGCGGGTTGGCGAGTGTGTCGCTGCTCAAGGCCGGGACTGGCATGGCGCTCTCCTCGAATGGGCATTTTGGCCTGGAGAGCGCGTATGGGCCGCTGATTATCTTCACGGGGCTTTCGTCCGCCTTTGGTGGGTGGGCTGTGTTTTGGAAGTGAACTGTGTTCATTATTTGGAGGTAAGTTTAAATTTTAGGTATAGATCAATTACTATGCGATATATTTGCAAGATAATGATGATGTCGTAAGTTAACCTCATTACATGTGGACAACCGCTTTGCCATCGTACTTCGTAGGTATTCTTACCAGACATGGGTATTCACCCAGGATTCGACATCTCTGGGTCATGAACTAGTATTTGGGCTTATAGAGTCGGATCATCTAAAGGATTGAACAATAGGATTAGCTTAACATTAAATGTATCAGAGATTTTATTACAGATTTTCGTTTCGTGCAGCTTTCCATCGGTAGACTGGTCGAATAATGAAGTTGGTGCAGGGTAGGCAGGAGAATCCCAAAATTGAAATTCCGCTTATCTAATCGGAAATGCCAATGAAGCCGAGGCAAAAGCGCGTCAGTTCGATTTTCGTCAATTCTCAACAGCTACATGTAGTCGCGTCGACAATCGAGCCTCGCATCGGCGCAAATTGATAAAGATGCGCTCCCGAGCGCGGGGCACACTTTCCCTTTCCCCTGAATGACCGTGGCACCTAATGTCTCCATCCCATTTCGGCGCCAGCGCAGCAACTTGCTTCCACCCTTCTCGACGAATATGCTTCGAAACGAGCGAACGAGCGAACGAGCGAACGAGCGAACGAGCGTCGATCTGGCGAGCTATAACCCCTTCTAAGTATTCGGAAATACTCCCGGCCAGCTTCACGAGTGCAGTAACAGTAAAGGTGTGGGCATCTCGCCGCTTGGGAGCAAATGGAAGCCAACCCCAACTGCTATGGCGTATACTTTCGACTGGCGGTCAGGACGTTCCGAGTGGAATAGCTATAAAAAAGTTAGACTACGAATGCGTTATGTGTCTCTAAGCGTAGGGGGCCCGATAAATTGGGAATCCAATGATGGCGTGCCTCTGGAGAGTCCGCAGATGAACTATCTCTACCTCGTAGAAGAACTTGATATCTCCATGAGCCTGCCGTCAGATGTAGAAACTTTCACTACAGTATCCTAGCTCCCTTCCTCGTCAAACTTGCTTCCCCAAGATAGATCCAGGCTCACGAGTCTTCGCAGCCTGTAACTCTCCTAGCCTTGTTCCTAAATCGCCCTGAATTTGCAGATGGAAGTCCTATCGCTCATCCGCTATAGTTGGTTTGTCTCAATTTAAGCTCTAGAGTAATCCCGATAGATGTGCTGCTCTAATCATTGTACATGTGAATGGTTAGTCGAGCCTTGTAAAATATACTTATAGGGTAGGATGGAACGGAGAATATATAGCAATTCTATATAGTGTATGAGAAAGCAGTTATCTCAAGGAAGAAAAGCCATGAGAGATGATTTCCGATTATCTAAAGCTATTTAGTTGGTTGACTGTAAATTTTGCGTGCGTGCCTGTGTAGGACTGTGTGAAGTCTCTTGTCAGGTATGGACTGCCAAAACCGAGTGAGTTTCTGCATCTGTTTGATGGCATTTGCTAATTCGTTATGATATTCGGACTATATATTCGATTGTTTATCAATACTATTCGTCGTAAGATATTCCTCAGACCAGGCATTTCCCAAGCCAACCATCCTTTCTCTTCTCGAACGATGTTTTAATGCTAAGCTTCAAGAAGTTGTATCATGAGACCATTCAATAGATCCCTATGTCATTTATCATACGTAGGTCGAAATATATGACTCTGTTGCGTGAATCCTCCCAAACTCTAAAGCGCAGGTCTCGTCTTCAAGTGCTGGGATCGGAGAATGTTTAGATCTAAGCATTGAAAGTCGGCAATACTAGATGACAACGGCGCTTACTTTGGGACGATTCCTACATCCTACAATGCATGAACTGGACAAACTGAAGACCGAGGAGTATGGACTTATGCAAGAGATATTATTTTGTTGATTAGCGATTACTAGGTTTTGCCGCGCCCCTCATCACAAGGTCACCAGGACCGTAAAATTGAGTTTCACAGGATGCATGAGAGGAAAAAAAACCACATGACTTTGAAATTTAAATTCAATCATTCTACAATATCAGCAACGCGCCCGCGACTGATAATAACACAGCGCAGGTCCCCGCGGCCGAGGGCGGGATGACGGCCGCTACGCCGCCCGTGTCGCTGCTCGAGCTCGACGTCGACGACGGCGATGCCGAGCTGGTGGTGCTCGTCTCGGTGTCCTCGGTCGTGCTGTTGATCTCCTTGAGGGAGGGGCACCCCGTCGTGTCGCCCACGCCCGTGATGTTGGCCTTGACGCAGGCCCAGGAGCTGGCGGACAGCTTGGCCTGGCAGGGGTCGGGGAAGGATGACTTGGTGATCTTGATGTAGGGGCACGAGGCCATGATGTCGTTGCTGGGCTCGGCGGCCTCGATGGTGACCTGGGACTGGCCCGTCGGGCAGTCCTTTGTGAGGTCGAGCTGGGCCCCGTTGTCGGCGAGGGTGAAGCCGATGGAGCCGTTGGCGATGCTGGCCGCGGGGTCGATGGTGATCATGACGTCCTGCTCGCGGCACGACCGCATGCTCCAGTGCCAGCTGAAGAGGTAGGGCCCGTTGGGGAGGCTGGTCTTGTTGCCCGCGCTGCCGGCGGGGTACCAGATGTTGTTTGTGGCATTGATGGGCTTGTGGGTGGACGCATCCTCCTTGATGGAGCCCGAGGCGAGGGCCTTGTTGGGCTTGGAGTTGCTGCCGACGGGGGCGATCTCCCAGTTGATGGTGAAGCCGTACTGGAAGGCGACGGCGGCGTTGTGCAGGGCGAAGACGACGGGGAAGTCGGTCTCGTTCTTGTAGGTGCTGTTGCCGGGGAAGGCAACATCGAGCGTGATGTTCCAGTTGGCCATGGAGCCGCCCCAGGCGGAGCCAGCCGCCAGGAGGACCAGCGCTGGTAGCCTCATCTGGGAGGGGGATATGTGATGTGAGATTTGTGAGGGTTGGGGGTGCTGCACGCGCGCGCCGGCTGCGTGGGCGGAAAGTGCGGATCTGGAGGGCCTGTTCGCTCCGTCACCGAGGGACACTCGTCTCTTCTCCTCTCGTCTCTCTCTCTCTCTGTGGCTGTATCTCCGCGGTTGGTGCTGTGCTGCCTCAGATGACCGTTTGGCCCAGTTTCACCCCGATTCACGATCACGTGATCAGGCGTTTGATGGGCGAGCTGGAGCGAGGATTGTCGCAAAAAAGAGAAGGACAAAAGCCGCAGGGGTTGATGCGACGGATTAATGGAGTGCTGAAGCGCCGGGAAATAGGGGAGAATGCGCTGGCGAATGCGCTCTCAGCTGAGCTCAGGCGCTGGTGCTAGCGGCTGGTTGGTGGAAGTGCGCTGTGGGTTTGGAGGTGGCGGCTGATTCAGCGGCCCAATTCGCAGACGCGACTGGCGATGGGCTGGATGGTGGTGGCGAATTTGCAGTGCGCTCCCCCTCAGCCGTTTTCGGTCTCGCAGTCTGGGATCGGTGTCTGTCCGTCCTGACGGTCCTGTGCTGTGCTGCCTGGTTCAGGGTCTCCGGCGCGCTGGATCTGATGCGTCGCTGCAGTGTCCGATCCGCGATCGTGGCTGTGCCTGTCTGCCTTTGCGGGTGCCTCGAGGGTCGTAGTGAGTGGGAGGGAATGGGTTGGCCGCGGTAGTGAGCACAGGATCGCTCCAGTATTTGATTTATTATTAGGGGGGACTGTTCGCCCAGCTGCCCAGGGCCGCATAAATAATTTGCATGGAGCGAGTGAGGACTGGAGCGGGCCGCGTAAGACGTACGTATGTACTTCGATCTTGGTGGAGATTTGGTGGCCCACGAGGTAGCACGCCAAGCGAGACAAAACGAGACAGACGCCAGCGACCAGAATGCCTTCAAACCGCTGGCGTTCTTGGCTGGTGGCCCTGCATGACGTACGGACCAGCTTGGCCCGCGGCGTTTTAATCTCTGCCGTCTCTCCCATGCATTCCCGTCAGCAGCCAAGGCCTTGTCTCCTCGTTTCCTCGTCAAACTCCCAGCAGCATCGCGACGCCAAGTGCTGCCAATGCATCGGCAATCCATGCGTCTAGCCTGTCTATACGCTCGCTATCGCCTATGGCGGCAGCCGTTGGCGTCTTGCGTCTGTGCCACCCTCGGCTTGTGACTCGTGGAGGCGGCCGACCACTTCATCATCTCGTCCGTCGTCCCATGTTAACGCCCTATTTCTTCCCTTCGCGGACACAGGACTACGTACGCGCAATATCGCCAATCTGCAAATCTACCAGCTACGAAACGGACGACGGCCCTTGATGTACGCTCTCCTCCGTGGCACTGTGCCGACAACCAGCAGCCGCTGCCCGTTTCAACGGCAATTCCCCTCCCCAGGTCTGGACTGTTGGATTTAGGGAAACCGGCAAAATCGGGTGAGCGATGCCGACGCCAGCAAAGTATCGTCGGGAGTGCGGCACGCTCCAATTACTCGCGTATAGCGCCCTCTATGGGAAGCTGTCTACGGTCTGGACAATCGCTTGACCCTGAGCAGCCAAGGATGGAGACTCGGTTCTCAATGATGTGATCAAACTTCGTGATCTGATGCCCAGCTGGATTACCACCCCCAGCACCGCCAAGCTCCTAATCAAACACATCCCTTCTCCCAACTGCCCAAAGTCACATGTTCCAGCTCCCATTGTCCTTGGCTATTGTCCGCTACTGTCCACCTCTGGAGCATTCCCGGGCCGCGTCATCACTCCGAGCGCCCAACTTTAGCACACCACTTGGCAGACCGGGATGGACGTACATGTGTGTAGGGAACAACCAGAATGCATGCGCTCAAACAGATGCGTGACAAGTACCTGCCAGTCCTGTCGCAGACGGATGCAACAGAATGGCGTAGGGCGGTCAGCGACTGACGGGCCACCCATCAATTGGACGTTCGTATTGATTGATACGGTTCTTCACCGTCAACCAGGTTGAGGACTTGGCACGTAATATCAATCGAAATTGACTATAGGGCTGAAGCTAAAAACCGACACTACGTACCTGGACCCTGGTTCCATCGCGGGCTCCTCGGGACCGGCAAAATTAGGTGAGACTTCGGTGAACTGCTACTCGGCAGGATTAAAAAAAATCTAAGAAGATGAAGTCAATCCCTCGTATCGTAAGAAATTAATTAGCCAATTAGGGAAGCTCTCAAGCTTCGACGTCGTAGATCGTAAGGCACTTTGGCCATCAGGTGTCATAAAGAATCAATATCAAACGTTTGGTATCATTGGGTATCATTATCATTATCATTATCCATACATGCATCATTAATTCTTCTTGGGCGCACGCCCAATACCTCGGCCGTCCTCTTGCGACGGCCTCTCCTCTTGCATGACGTCGTCATCATACTAGGCGCGACCTCCTTGCTGGGGCTTTCCTTTGCGGTTGAAGTCGGTGATTGAAGTACGGGAGACGAGGCCGCGCGCCTCGGGATTTCCTACTCTCTTGGTGCGTACTAGATCGCTGCCCTCGGCTGTTCCTCTGCTTCGAATGAGTCGTTCGAAGCGCCGCCGTGAGCGTTGTTGCCTTCAGATGGGCGGTCAATGCGAGAGCTCCCATCACCAGCACAGTGTGGTCGTGAGTCGTCGGATAGGTGCTCTGCTTGCCCCTCTATTTGCGCCGCGGCTTGTTCTCCCTCTCCCTCCTCTGGCTTCTCGTGAGCCCATTCCATCTCAGGCTCGCCGTCGCGTTTCTTGTCCTAGAGGTTCGTCTTAGTCCAGATATGCTTGACGCTTGCGTACGCTTGCTCTACCAATTGGGGTCCCTCTTTGCCTGGGTGTTCGATGACACCAATCGTCTCCCCAACGCCAGGTTCCAGCCATTCATTCTTGGTATTGTTTTCGGTATTTGCCAGAGAACTGCGTATTTCGAGGGCGTAAAGGAGTAGGCCATCGCGCCATGCAGCCCTAGACTGCTGGGCAAGCAGTTGGCTCTCGCGAATTGGAAGGTTCTCGAACGGGCTGCTTAATTTTCCATCATCGACCGACGTGGGTGGCGCCAGTTTCTCGACAAGTTGGGGGTAGGATCGTACGAGAGCGGTAGCGGGAGGGACCGTATCGCTTTTGGGAGGCTGATCGCTCGGTTCTCCAAGAGATACCGGATCTCGTGGTGGCGGCAGAACGGATTCGGAGGGAACAGCAGCAAGTCGTGGATGGTTATTCGCAGGAGAGGCCATCGTGGGCGGAGAGGGGAAGTCTTTCTTGAGGTTTCTTGTGGCTAGCGACCGAGCGAGGCCTTGAGGGAGAGTGAAAAGTAAAGCGACATTGAAGAAAGTTTAGAGCGAAAGAAAGAAGAGCAGAGAAGAGAAGAGAGGGTGGATAACGCGAGGAGAGAGAACGAACGTAGGTGAGAGTTGGGTGAGTAGGCGAAAATGAGTTTCTCACGCGCGCTGGTGCAAATAACTGCCAGTGCTCATTTAGGTGATGATGTAATGGAGCGGTAGCACTACCGCCTCAGGGTCCAGGGGTCTAGGCCCCTAAACAGGAACCCTGAGCGGGTCCCCCCCAAACCAATTCCTGGGGAGCTTTCCATTGCATTGGATTTCAAGTTGCGATTCCAACGCTGTTTAGTAGAACCATGCGCAACAGCCCATTGATGCTTCGCGGCTCCGCCCGTAGACTTCTTAACGTGAATGGGCAAATTACATAGACTGTGTACCTGCAGAATTTGGTCATGTTCTGTGAGTCATGTTCTGTGACACCAACTCGTCAAAGGTCAGCTCAAACGAGTTTTCCCCAGTAGTGAGAGGTTATCAAAAGCGTATATTTAGTTGCTCGTCAGCACTGTAGCGGTAGTCCTGGATGTGGATAGAATCCTCCCCAAGCCTAACGATGGTGGTGCTCTTTCTATCATAGTTTCAATACCCAAGATCACGCTTGTGGAAGAGCATCCTGCTGGGACCGTCGATCAACTCATTGACTATAAGACTCGGAGTGTCAATATCAAGGGCTCCCCTAACAGTGTGGATGTTTCCATAGTCACCCTGTCACCCTGTGGACCACATTGGACAAGTGCTGAAGCCGCACGCAGGAGTTACAATGCCTATGACTGGGATATTGATAAAGGTGACAACAACGGACCTGATCGGAGTTGACTGGTTTCCGTGTTGGCTTGGGGCCGAGCTCTATGCTGGGTAGATGTATCATCAACGGAGCTCTGGGGAATAAAGATATGGTTTGAGATGATCTCAAGTAACCCCGAGAAGCGTGCTTCCCTAATAGGGTAGAGGAGTCGAGGGAATGTCAAGCCTTTTATCCGAGTCGCGGACCTGGATGATCTTGAAAATGAGAGAGGACTGCAACCAGGTCTGTACCGTACCGGAAAAGTAGCCTCGGAAAGTTCGTAGTTGGGGTACTACGATAGGTACCCCTCTAAACTGGACAAGGAGTGGTTCCCTTGTCTATCATCTCCGAACTCGGTATGCTGATAAAGTCATAACTTGATATTATGTGATCACTTGAAATCTAAGGAATTCCGTCATTACTTGCACACCAGTAGCGGTGATTAAGGTGACGAGTTGTGGGACGAAATTGCTCATGCTCATATTAGACGTCCCTTGTTACAAGCGCCAAAGTGACAGTTGGCCATGAAATACTATATTTAGTGAATTCAATGCTTCACCAGACGACTACTAGGAATATATGACGTCTGATATGTTAAACTACTCCTCTTCTCGAGACCACGTGGTGCGAAGCCGGCGGCGTGAAGGATGTAGAGGTTGTTCTAGAGATGTGAAGTTGCAGCGATATACGAATTGGTCGGGTATTGACGAATAGAGTTGAGTTTCTATTGACGCTTGGCCAAAGCTTGCTTCCAAGTAGTAAATAAGCATTAGATCGAATTTGACAAGAAATGGATAATGCTCCGCTTTCGCTCTGGTGTGAATCATCCTAAATCCGTGTCCCCGCCCTTTGAGTCAACCAACCGGTGATGCAACCTCATCGATGCCTTGCGAATTAATTCAGGGACTATATCCTGCTCATCATTAAAAGCCCGTATTACCCAATCTCAAGGCATTGCTTAACTCTACCCATCCTCAACAAAGAGAAAAGAAACCGAGCACGCGGGATTTAAGTCGCGAGCTTCTTACTGCCCTCAGTTCCTTCTGAGCAAATTATCTAAAGCCTGCCTGGTATTCCAAAGTTTGGAGTAGTGAAACTTCGTATCGAAATGGCAACTCAAACGGAACTTCCCTTTGTCACACTAGATGTCTTTACATCTACTCGGTTCAAGGGCAACCCACTGGCCGTCGTCACAATTCCTGCTGGCACGAAGCCATACCCTACACAGGAGCAGAAGCAGACTATTGCACGCGAGTTCAACCTCAGCGAGACAGTCTTCATCCATGAGGAGCACCCTGACGTCGGCCCGAACGACAAGTCCACCCGTCGCATTGACATCTTCATCACCACCGCCGAGCTTCCGTTCGCCGGCCACCCAACCATTGGCGCTGCCGTCTCCCTCCTCGACAAAGGTATCACTACACTCATCACCAAGGCCGGTCCTATCCCTCTGCAGCAGCCGGAACCAAAGACCATCCAGGCCGCCATCCCCCACAATGTCCATCTTCACAAGAAGACGCTCAGTGCCCTCTCAGCTGACAAGCCCGACTACTTTGCCCCCGGAGATCTCTCCGTGATCCCTGAAATCCAAGCTGCTGAACTCGCCGCCCCCATTTTCAGCATCGTCAACGGAATGGCCTTCATTCTCATCGAGCTCCCCACCGTCGAACTGCTCTCCAAGGTGACCGGCAGCGTCACCTCGTTCCCCGTGGACCAGACTCTCGACCCAGACTGGCAAGGGGGATTCCTCGGTCGCTACTACTTCGTGCGCGTCAGCCAGGGGCCGGACAGCGTGGCTATCCGATCGCGCATGATTGAGAAGGGCTTCGAGGATCCCGCTACCGGGAGCGCGGCCTGCGCTCTCTCGTCGTATCTGACCCTTGCCGCGGGTGATGCGGAGCCTAATCGGACGGTTCGGTATGAGATTACGCAGGGAGTCGAGATTGACCGTGAGAGCAACATTCTTGTCACTATTGGCACCAAGGAGGGCAAGATTGACCAGGTTAGTTTGGCTGGGACGGCTGTTCAGGTCATGCGAGGATACGTGACTCTCTGAGCCTGGTAATTGAATTGAAGGGAACTAGATAAATTACATTGCCCGTTAATCGCAAGCTGGGATCTCTGGGCATCGAGCGGGAAAAAAAATCAAAGCATAAGTTACTCCATGGTTAATTAGTTTAGGACTCGTTGGTTAATTGGAAGTACGGAGTACGTGCGTAACAATTCCGATGAGGTTTTTGCATGTGTAGTGGTGACGTGGGTTTCGTCGCAAGAGCATGAGTGATTTCGATTCCAATCTTCACCGACGAATTGTCGACAGTGAAAATACGGTCATGTCGATTGGAACAGACATCCGCTGGCATAGGCACGTCAAGGCTTTCAATATTATTGATGGTATTGACGCACCATCAGGATCGGGTGACGATGTGTTAATGAGCGCGGGGCTCGGGTTGATGTTATGGCGAGGCGGATGCTTAAAATCAATCGACCTGCACTCTTCCATGAAATACGAAAATCTTTCAAGTCACTCTACTATCCATGCATTTCTTACCTGCATGATGTCAACAGCAAAGATATTCGGCGCCGACCAGAGCTGGCCATTGTGGGAGGAGAGCTCGCCTGAAGGGGCCTTTGAGATGGACCTCCCCGGAGGGGTCATAGACAATGGCGTTGTTACAAAAGTCGACCGGCCTTTTCTGTTTGGCTATACCCCGGCGCAAAGCAATGGCCGCGGCGTGCTGATTCTCGGAGGCGGAGGCTACGTTCAGCTCATGGTCGGCCGAGAGGGTGTCGCGGTTGCGAAATGGCTCAACAGCCTGGGGTTCCACGCCTTTGTTCTTGTCCACCGGTTCCCCAACTCCGAGGCGGGCGTTCAAGCGCCCCTCGACGATGCCAGGCGAGCGTGCAAGCTCATAAAGGAGAGTGGTCTCGCGCCCAAGGGACTGGGGATTTGTGGTCTATCCTCTGGCGGCCATCTTGGTGCGGCCCTCCTTGCTGAGTATCCTCAAGCATGGGTCTCTCCCGACCCGGGTTCTGTGGGAGCTCAGTTTGCCATTATCGGGTATGGTCCAATCTCGACCAACGCCGTCGGTCGGCAGATTGTAACGGACAAGGCGCCGCTTCCGCCAGCAGAGAAGCAAGCGTTCTATGATGCAGTGCAGCCAGATGTTCAACTGGAATCGCCGGCGCCTCCGTCGTTCATCGTCTACTCCAACAACGATCCGGTTGTGCCAGTCGTCAACGCGCATCGGTTGGCCGAGGGCATAACGAAGAGCGGGGGGTCTGTCGAGCTTCACATATTTGCGGATGCGCCTCACGGCTTTGGAATTGACACAAAGAACCTTCCCGTTTCTAGCTGGCCGTTGATCTGTGAAGCATGGCTACGGCAGCATGGGTGGATTGAATGGTTGTAGATGGGATCTCGCACCGGCCTCGGGGCGACGCAGTTGGCTATTTTCGGTCGTGCCATCGCGGGCGTTTGAGAGAACGGGGGCCAGTATTGATAACAATAGGCAAATTGAGAGGACGGTTCGACGGAGTTTGTCCTCGTAGAATCTTTCGTTCGTGTCATCGCATCGTGAGGAAATGGGTCTCGTAGTCGAAGTGGATTGTCGAGATTAAGAGGTCGTTCGCCCCCTTCCCTTTGATATCTGTCTACGAGAGCACACGTTAGCAATCGTCCTGCCAGAGTACAGCGAGCGTACAAGATGCGACTGACCGTGATCGATCAAAGAGCTCCTTGGCTATAGGCTTGGGAAGTATCTGGGGAGGTGGTTCACGATTGATCGTCGACTGCGAAAAGTGGCATGCGTTTGCGTCGCGGTTGCGTCATCGTGGAGTCTCGTATATCGTGAAGCACCGGCACCTCAAGTCGGAGGAGATCGCAGGGCTAGAGATCAGGTTGGGACTGGCGTCGGGCACAGCAGGCGGCTTGACGTAGAGGAGATGGAATGGCAGTCGACCAAATTTGTCGTGACGCTCAACGCGAAGCTTCACGAAACTTATGACTAAGCACACATCGCATTGTGACTGGTTAGAGCCTCTCGATGGGACATCACTTCTTCCATATGAAAGAATATGATCAATAATTTTCTCACAGACAAGAACTAGACTGGAGAAGAAAATCTATCCTTGGACGGTGTAGCTGGATAATTCTCATAGATATACTATAGAACAACGATCCAGGTGTAAACCTTCTACAAAGCCTATAGGGAACCCCTTGTTTTCTTCTTATTCCATTTTGCTTAACTATACATACCAAGTGGCTGTTTTACGTATCACCAAAATGCCTCCTCATAGCTGTTTGGTTAGCCTAGACCCTTTTCACAGCTCAAAAGGGCTCTTGCAGTACGTCCTTTCTCGAGAGAAGGTTGGCCTTTTCGGGAGGGATCACCAAGAAGGATTCTTGGCACGTTTACGACCAATGCTGGAGAGGCAGTGCGATGTAACATAGCATGCGACCCAAAACTCTAACGTGATATGCCTAAAAACATCAAATATTGCTCATATCGATCGTTCGAAAGTATAATATAGTTTGTTGGACATATTAAACGCTTGCATGGAATGGATGGAATGGATGCTTAGCTTATACTTAACCGCTTTTCGTCGAGAAATTTGAAAAAGCGCAGCCCATGTGATATTTCAGACACCCTCTAGGACATTTGTGTTGCACCGATTACGACAAGTGCATGCGTTTTCCTGCGAGTCAGCAGTTGTACTCCCCCAGCGAAAAGGATTACTGGCTGACACATGTCAATTATCATGCAAATTTGGGTACGGAGAAGAAGGACTCGTGTGATTTTGATTCCTGTTGGCTCGTTTATAAATAGAGTCGGCAATAATCATCCCACGGTCGAGAGTAAGCAATGGAACTGAGACATTGCCGGCCTGATGAGGGCTGTTGATAGCCCTAGAGGAGTGCTACATAACCACCAGTTTCTCGTGAAAGAAAAACTCACATTGTCACCAACTGTCCTCCAAATTTGCCCCTCTACTTCATGGATGAGGACCACATCACAGCCCCCGATGGGGCTTTCGGCATGTCCGACGAGACAACGCAGATCCTACTCCGGTCAAGATTGTCTAGCGTACCGAATAGCCCAACAATCTCCCAACAAGAGATTTCGTCCCTTGGCAATTCCGAGAGAGCGTCAATAGATCAGCGGCAGCCGGTTGGCAAACCAGAAAACCGCGTGGACATTCATCCTGAGCTACCAGAGGGGTTGCTGATTAGAGAAATGGTGGATTCTTCCGACATGAATCATCATGACCCTCAAACTCAACAAAACGTTATCATTACTTGGATTCTAGAGATTCTTACCCTTGTATTAGCAGCAGGACTTCTCATTGCTATTTGCATCCTATTTGCAACTTATAACGGTCAGACACAGCCCGACTGGGGCAATGGCGGAATCACCCTCAACGCTCTTATCGCTACCCTGTCCATGATCTTTCGCGCCAGCCTGGCCTTCGTCAGTTTTGAAATAGTCTCCCAGATCAAGTGGGACTGGATTGCATCCGAATTCCGCCCTCTAAGAGACTTTGATCGTTTTGATGCTGCGTCGCGAGGTGTATACGCCTCCTTACGGCTTCTGCCACTTGCCATTCTTCACCAGCCGAGGGCTGCTGTGGCTATCCTTGTGACGGTCAGTTCTCTAGGCATTGGGCCATTCATGCAGCAAACGATCCAAACGTATCAATGCCAGAGGAAACCGGGACCGGATGTCCAGGCCCCAACGATCACCACAGCGAATACCATTGAACTTTCTGAACTAGGTATGGTCGTTCGATCGGGCCGGCGTGTGCTAAGCACAGAGATACGGACTGCGATGCAAGACGCAATCGTGAACCCGAACCTTGATTCCAATATTGGGGCACTATTTACATGCAAGTCTGGGAACTGTACCTTCCCACCGCTCTCCAATACCGGAAAAGACTTGGAGCAAACAATAACACATTCCAGCATTGGGATGTGTAACCGATGTGTCGATGTATACGACTTCGTCCAAGAACCAGTGCCACTCAACATCTCAGAGGGCAAAAATTTCCCAGTGTTCAATCTACCCGTGTACCAATCAGTGTACAAGGGGAGTGGTTACAAGCTAAACTTGAATGAGGGACCAATGCGCATCGTGCTAGGGAGATCGTCAGTGTCTGCGTTTACATATATGCAGATGCGAGGAGTGAGGAACCTCACATGGACTCGAGAGGTTACTACTCCTGACTTCATCAATAGAGCTCGCTGGGCGGTCTACAACTTCACTATCCTCGCTGCGTCGCGGAATCACTGCAACATATTGCCTGATGGCAATGTGACCTGTCCGCAACCTTGTCCGATCGACGATGGATCTTGTCCTGTCGCTTTTTACGAGCCATCTGATTATGTTGCTGCCGCTTGTACCCTATACCCATGCCTCAAGCATTATTTAGCTACTGTCGATGCAGGGAAGCTGGCGGAACGCATAGTCCACGATGTTCCTCTACGCCTGCAGTCACCGGAGCCTCTCTGGTCAGCGGATCTTACAAATCATCTCTCAAGAGATTTCAAAGCTGTGCAGCAGCCCTGTTGGGTGAATGGGACGCTGTACACAGCATCGAACATGTCTTCTTCAGAGTCTCTCGGAGAAAATGTCGCAGAGGTCGTGCAATCCCATCTTGACGATTGGATGAATGAAAGTATCGATGCTCCAGCTCATTACACTAACATTACGGCCCCACGTGAGTGCGTTGGCACAATGAGTGCTTACTTTATGTCGCTGTTTCAGGACAACCCATTCGATAATGTGAGTTGTTCATACGATACGCGGATGGAAAGTCTTCAATGCCGGGGCAATCTGGACGAGAATATAGATCAGTCCAGCCTAGTGGCACTCATGAGGGGACCAAACACATCTATGGAGACTTTGCAAGAGAATATCGACTCGCTGACTGCGCGGCTTACAACTGAGATACGGAAAAGAGGCACAGGAGCTTACAATCTGCAAAAGGCATTTGTCAATGGTGATGAATGGGAGACTAAAGTCTGCGTCCGTATTCTATGGCAGTGGATTACTCTTCCAGCAATATCGTTTGCATTGTGTGCCTTACTGTTGCTATGGACGATTATCAAGGACGCCATGTCGAGAAACGGAACTATTTGGAAAAGTTCGCCCATTCCATTGATTCTCAAGGACTATCCAGGCTTGGAAAGAATGGGATTAAACAGGATGGGCCAAATTGTAAAGGGGCTTGAGATAAAGCTGGAGAAGCAAAAGGAGATTTAAGAGCACAAATAGATTCTCAATATCAAGCTCATGTTTCTTCTGGATGCAGATAGCTGGCTTACCAACTTTCACACAAATCAGTACTTAGCCTCGCACTTGCATTCACACTTACATTTTCTCAGTGTTGGCGGCAACATAAGGCAGTGGTCCCTCGGCATGTGCCGGACATCTCGCTCAGCAGCCCTTAATGGAGCGTGGAGTCGAGTAGGCCCAAACGTGCTATGTGGGGTGACCGATACTGTTAGCTTCCGATCGAGTCTGTCCTAGCAGCGATGATAGCGTCCTTTGTTCTTCTAGCCCCCCGTTATGTGTAAGCAGGAGGCGGTCCGACCGGGAGATCTTAGCCTTTCGGGAATGTGCTTGCGCTGTAGGCTTCCGCTTGGGCATTGGAACAAGCCGGCATAATCCGTTCTCTACCTATCTAGCATAAGAAAGTGAAGAAGCAAATAGGTCCAAGCTGGATTTGACCCCGGTGTTGATCTTGTGTTTAGTGTATCGGGCAGGCAAGGTGGCCAACGCCGTTTTATTAGACCGGTGGACGAGTGAGAGCCCTCATAATATTAGCTGGGGAGAGCTTGCGATCTGCTACACCCCTCACCTTGCTCTTGGGCTACTTGATTACGATATTCAACTTCAATCTGTTCTTTGAGCGTTTTCAAAGCGCTGGCGGCCGCCACTCAATCGTGAAAGAGGTGGATTAATTCGCTGATCTGCCTCCTCCACACGAAGCCAAGACGGCTCTAACCCATCTGCAAATATGGGTCATGGGCTACATTGTGGGCGTCACCGTGGGCGGGGGAAAATGTTTCATAAATTGTTGGTAGCCCGCATGAACAACTAATCTTTTCCACCAGCCTTTGGTGGTGAAACAGTCTCCTTGATTCCGGACGATTGGAGCACATTGCATGCTCACTGCATAACGTTATTGAATTAAAGCATGTAAGGGAGAAACGAGTATGTTTTGTAGGATGATTGACGGGGGTGAGGCCTCCTCCGTGTTTCCCATCGTGCATTAACGTCCCAATAGCGCATAAGCCTCACGCACAACGGTTTTGTAAAGGGAGCCCTTAACTCCGATCCACCATTAGAAAATAGGGTGACATCTGGTGTCAATGTGAGGAACGTGTATTGAAAGATCTGGCCCTCGGTCTTTCGGAGTACGCCAAGGCGTGGCAACCAAGACATTGGCAAGTAGTATTTGGTTCACCCTGCTGTCCTGGTGCTGGATTAGTCTCCTTTTTCGTAACAATGGCTCAATGGAAGATCTGTGCGTCCAAATGTCAGCCGGGAAACGGGGATTGTGTCTCTGGAGCTGTAATCTATAGCCTGATGTGGCGATCCACTCGACGCTCATACCTCACTCGCTCTTGGTAAGCACGAAAATTGTGATCGGATGCTGCCCTTGGTCACACCTGGATTCAGCTGAACCGGTGAGCTACTGTCGGGAGGGCTATGTCCCACTTGCCCGATGCATGTCAGGGGCTCCCTGTTGGGGCTGGACATTAGCATCGAGATCTGGCCAACCTAATCTTTCCCGAAGCTGGCTGGTTTTCAGCTGGCGGTAGATTCGGGACATTACTTTCTGGCACTGCTGGGCGCTCGGTCCTTTCCGGTGGCTACAGTGTGATGTGGTAGTACGGAAGATGTGGCACCTTGACTCGGCATCCTCGGGCGTGCTCGAGTCCTTTTTTGTTCGAATGTGATATATCATTTGGCCCCCGGAGCGAAAAAGCAAAATGAGGGAAAAGGAAACAAAACGCTCCAAGAACGGTAAACTGTTCATTCAAGATCCCAACACAACGGTTACGTGGTTCCACTGACTTGCATACCGTGTTGATAATGCATACAGGTAACGAACACTCTCTCCTTGCTTTGCGTTCAATATATCTACGCAAGGGCACCCTCCACGTCGGCCATATGCGAGACAGGCCTGCCAAATATTGTCCCCATCTTCCCTCTTACGGCATCTACCGACGTAGTACGAGCAAGCTGCGCCGCTCAGGCCCTTATATTTGTCCCGCATTGTGCTTGTTTTTAGCGGTCTGCCAAGTCCCTGTTCTCGACCCTGGTTTGCTCAAGGTAGCGCGGCACTACGTCTCTTAGCTGGCGAGCTATCTGACATCGACGTTGGTGGCGGTGCCCAATCACGGAAAGTTGTCACATTTGGCACAGCTCAGCTCTGTTTCCTGAAGCTCCACCAGTGGCCAAGCGGCAGCAAGATGTATTGGCAGGATCGGGCTGTAGGACGTGCATGATTCAAAATGCGACTGATTCTCGTGTCTGTCCCCGGCGAGGGAGACCGAGCTCGTTCTGCGAACCGGTGCTCCTCTCTTCCCTTCGCCAACCTCTACGAACTGAATTACTTTTGGCCAGTTCACCGCGACTCTGGGCTCATCGTTGCTGTCATTATACACGCAGAAACATGTCTCCGAGTGAACTGCTCGGCAAGTATGCGGGGCATATTGTCCCGCAGCGTTTCAACGTTGGTATTGTTGTGCTCAGCTACATTGTCAGTCTCATCGGTGCAGGCTCTACTCTGGAGCTGATCAATCGTCGCACTGGATCCAAAGGGCTCTTCAACAAGTTAGTGACAGCTATTTCAATGCCCTTCCTGCTGAAGCTCGCCATCCAATCATCAACCAGTGCTTCCTACTGACAATCATCTTGTTCTGATTAGTGTCTTACTCGGCGGTGCAGCTGTAACAATGGGAGGGGTCGCCATCTGGTCGATGCATTTCGTTGGAAATAAGGCTGTCTATTTCGGCAATGGAGAGCCTGAGATCCAAGTCGGCTTCTCCCCCTTATTCACCGTCATCTCCTTCTTCGTTCCCATCCTCGTCCTCCTCGTCGCTTTTCTTGCCATCGGCACCAACAACGTCGTCTCTTGGCTGCGTGTTTCTCTCGGCGGGTTCCTCTGCGGCTCGGCTGTATGCGGTATGCATTATCTCGGCAATGCTTCGATACAGAATTACACATGTACCTACAAACTGAGCTATGTCATCAGCTCCGCTATCATCGCCGTCATCGCCAGCACAATAGCGCTATCCGTCTTCTTTGTCTTTCGATCTATATGGGCCAACGTGTGGTGGAAGAGACTCTTGTCCGCCCTCTTGCTGGCTGGTGCTGTCTCTGGGATGCATTGGTGTGCTGCCTTCGGCACAGAATATACTCTTGTTGCGATAGAGGTGGGAGCCGGTGGAATGTCACGGGATGCTACCGTCATCGTCGTCATTTGTCTGGTTAGTCTTGTCTCTCGACCACAGAAATCGTGATGCTAACTCTCCCTATTAGTCCCTAGGTGCATGCTTGACCATCGCTGGCCTCGCAATCTTCACTGCTAGAAAGAGGAATCAGTCCGCCCGCCGAGCTCAGAAGATCACGCTGGGCGCTGCCTTTTTCGATAAGGAGGGCAGGATTCTTGTCGACACCGACGGACTTATTCCCAGCACCGTTGTCACCGACTCCTTCATTCAGACTGTAGGTAATCCAAGAGATGGTAACGCAGGGACTATGCTGACAAAAGACTTCGCAGAACGACAAGCAACCATTCACCATCTCACATCCTTACTTTCTCTGGATGTTCCAGGCGACGAGGAGCTGGCCCGGTTTATACACCCTCATCGACGGCATGAAGCGACGTGTATCCCTGAAGCACAGACGAGTTGTCCAAGAAGTATCCCCGACCAAAGACGAGCAAGGTCTTCTATTCCGAGGCCAGTTCTGCCTAGCCGCCGTCCGACTTGCCGAGCGTCTCCGCCAGGAGCTTACAAACATTGGTGTGCTTTGGGACGAGATCCTTGCTACCGGCGTGGCTGCGGACCTTGATCTACACCCCGGCGATCAATTAGGAGGGCCCATGTCGGCCAAGTTCAGGCAACGTCTGCACGAGAAGGGTGCCGCTCTACGGCAGCAGGTTGGGAAGGGCTCGCTGATGTTTCTCGTTCGTCGCATTCACAGCGAGCGTGATCTTGAGCGGCTGGCCATGGCTGGCTATCGCTTTGCCGAGGTGGAACACGTCAGCGGTATAATCGCATCAAGAATGCAAATCAAGAACATGGGCGTTGAGGCTAAGCTGCGTCAAATGGCACATTACTCCAATCAGGGCATGGAGAAGGCTGCTCGTCTTCGTATCGGGTTCTTTGCCATCCGAGCCCGTGTCAACACCTCAGGCTTTGACGTCTTAGTCAAAAGGACGACACGCAGCGCTCTTCCATCGATCAGCCTACCCATCTCCAACTTAGATTCGTGGCAGAGAGATATCTTGAAGCGATTTGAGGGGTTGACAATGCTGGCCGTGTCCGAGGCTTTAGAAGCGACCAAGATGTCAACTGGTAGGGAGACCGAATTCATCCATCATATCAAGAGCGGGATTAAAAAGCTTCGTGACTCTCTCAGGGATATCATCACAGATGATGCCATTCTTGCGGCAGGTGTTGTTCAAGTGCCTGGTGGCCCAGCTGGCATGGCCACGCCCAGCCTCACGTTCAGAACTGTAGCCCCAATCCATTCAGTTGTCAACAACACAGATTACGAGTACATACCCCTGAGTCTCTTCAAAGCACACCAACTTGTACAAATGGAAGAAGGCCAGCAATCATTCATCCACAACGTACATCGCGAATTCCAGTCCATTATTGGGCCACAACCTGTGGAAGAGCCACGCCCGGGAAGTGCCGATAAGAGCATCCTCTCCAAGCTTACGAAGAAGAAGAGAATGTCACACCGACCATCTGAAGATTGGGATGAGGAGCAAGTGTTGGAGGGCAGATCTGTACGCCGACCGTCTTCAACGGTCTCCACTCAGTCGACCTCAACAGCAGATCTCTGTCACTCGAAGGAGCGCAGTGACAGGCTTCAGCCTGGGAGTATGCGACGAAACGACACCCCCAAGCATCTGAGCGCACCGTCATTTGGGGGTATTATGGTCTCGCGGGAGATCGCTGTCAACGTGGAGAAGCAGAAGCATCAAGTCGTTGTGTCAGAGTGCGCCCTGGAGCCCGCGGTGATCACGAATGAGGTTTCTGCAAGTCCAGATATTGAATTGCAAGCAAAGGACCAGGACAAGATTTTCGGCATTCAGGTGGCTTCAACCCCCATGATAGGAGTTCACACCGGCAATGGGAACCATGACACATATGTCGATGTGTTATTTAGAGACGCTGTAGAGGGTCAATGGTGGAAGAGGTAATTTACTTAGAGATCTCTTAGCTACTTTCAATAATACAACTGCTTTGCACTCCATTCAAGATATGTGATTATCCCATGATGCCAACCTGGTTGCACTTCAGCGACCTCGTCATCATCCGTTGACGACGCAACGGCCTTTACTGCTTGGCGTATCCAATGGGCTTTGGGTTTTCCACAATGCCAAACTGACCCGTGAGTGCCAGGAACCCCGTAGCCGTGCCGGTATCTCCTGGGTGAGGGCCGATGAAATCATTGGGGAATCCAATGTCAAACGGCTTCACACTCTCCAAGCGCTGGATCTGCTTGGACGTGAGCCTGATGCTCAGCGCCCGGATATTGTCATGCAGATGCTCAACCTTTCTACCGCCAACAATGGGGAAAACATACGGCGCCTTCGCCATCACATACGCCAAAGCAATCGCGGTTGGGGACTCGATGCCGTGTTCGGCGGCCACCTCACAGAGCGCTTCGCTGTACTTGACCTCGTCTTCAGATTGTACCGGTCCGTCGACGAGGCTGCGAAGGGTCTCTCCGCTCTTGAGGCGCTCCTCGATGGCCTTCTTGGACTGGAACTTGCCATGTCCGAGCACATCCCACGGCGCCAGGGCCATGCCAAAGTGGCGAGCCATGGGGAGAATCTCCCGCTCAAAGTCTCGCCGCATGATGTTCCAGCGGCCTTGGTAGAGAGAGAATGGCGTCTTCCCGTGGTCCTTTGCATACGTGTTGGCAGCGCTGACCACCCAGGCAGGGCTGTCGGAGATGGCAAGATAGAGGACCTTGCCCTGCTGCACAACGTTGTGAAGACTGTCCATGACCTCCTCGATGGATGTGGTCTGGTCCCAGTAATGGAGGTACAGGATATCAACCCAGTCCGTCTGCAACTTGGCCAATGAATCTCTGAGGCTGACGTGAAGACTTCGCTTATGGTTCCCGCCGGAGTTGACGGAGTTACCCTTCCCATACTCGTGGGACTTGTAATCAGCCGTAAACTTTGTGGCTAAGACCAAACGGTCTCGATTCTTGCGCGAGGCCATCCACTCTCCGAGCCAGGTTTCAGATTGTTCGCTTTGGTAGTTGTTCGAAGTGTCAATGAAGTTACCACCAGCCTCGACATAGGCATCTAGCAACTTGAACGACTGCTCCTTGTCCATGTTGCCCATGCCATCAGCCCATGCGCTTCCAATAGACATGGCACCGAGGCATAGGGGAGAGACCCTGATACCAGCAGTTGGAGCGAGGATTCGAAAGCGGCCGAGCTCCGTGGGAGGCTCTGGTGCGGAACCCCATCGAGACATGGTGTAGACTGTAGTTGTTTGGGCAGATATGGGAAGGAAGCGAGGTATGGAAAAGAGTAGACCTGTGATTCGGTCCAAAACTGATGATGTGTATTGATTCAGAAAAGGAGCCTAAAGAATGGCTAATGCCATGCCTTTATACTTTCTCGTGGGCTGCATCACACCCACCTTTTGATATGGGTATCCGCCTTAAACGGAAACTCCAACAGGAATTCAGTGCAAGACAAAGCATTTAGTAAGGTCTGGTATCATAAACTTCCCTTGATTTACAAGCACAGTGATTTCACACTGTCACATCAATGCCTAGATCACATATCATTGCTTGCCAAGAACCCAAATCCCGTGCTGAGGCTGAACCATCTCCGCAGAACTGAAGTCCGCATCCCGAATCCCGCAAATGAGTCTGCACCTTCAGTTGGCTAATCTCGCGGAAACCTCGCAACAGGGTTTCCCTGGAGGGCTATCTCCCTGGCTGTTATATACGCCTGGCTACCAAGGCGTAGAGTTCTGGTGTAATACAGAGGCAGGGAATGAATAGAAAATTCATACTGAAGGAGAAAGCAGGACTAGATTACTCTTCTACGCCTATGCCAATAGGCGCCGGCTGGATGCAGCCACTGCCTGGCCACACACCCGTACACCCCTTGCCTAGGTCATCTATGTAACTAGTTATATGGCCTGTAAGTAGCTGGCCGCCCTGTGCCCCCTGGGAAGACGTGACCGGCGTTAAAACAATTCATCATCATCATCATCAGCATCAGCATCAGCATCGGCATCAGCATCATCAACCTACAGTGATAAATTAAACTCAACACACTGTGACCCGAACGCATGGGAATGTCATCGATGTAATTTTCGGCTATAAGGGAGACAGAGGGATTCATACCTCCGCCTGCTCATGCATATACGCGTATCCTCGAGGAGAGGCACCGGAGTTAAGAGAGCTTGCTCTTGACTCCGGTTCGACTCTCCATATCATGATATTTGTTGGGGCACAGAACGGAATTGGAGTGAACACCTAGTACGGGGTACTCCTTTGGGACTCTCCCCTGGGTAGGTGAGCGCGTAAATGATCATGTTTGAGAGTGATAAGTGGCTCAGAACCACTGGCAAGATGACCTGAACAAAGAAAGCCCATAGTCCCATTATTCTATCTATTTGTGTCATTATCATTAGTTGAAGTGTATTTAGCCTCTCAAAATGCTCTCATCCCGTGTATGGCGGAAATTGCAGATTACCGTCCGCAGGGGAGAGCCCAAAGAGCTCCCCGTTGTTGCCATCAGACAATACCGATATCACCAGGTCTCCGTCCTCCGACCCCATGGGACCGGCATTCGCATCATACCACGTCTCTAGAAGGTTACTCGGCACAGGGGTTAGAAGGTCTCGTTGGTAGTCAGCCGGGGAGTCAGAGATGGTCTCTTCCAGCATCAGATATTTCGATGTGAGTAGTGTGTCCCCCGTCACCTTGATGTAAGCAGCATTCAGAAACTCGATGGCGAACGGTGCGGCGTTGTATACGGTCCGTAGATCCTCTAGTACACCCACACACTTCCAATACCGTGTCGCAGCTGATGAGTTGATGTTGGGCATGGTGTCCTTCATGTCGCAGATGTGGATGACGGCGGCAGGAATCGCCGCGACAATGCAAACCACGGGGAGAGATCTGACCCTGCCGTAGCTTTGCAGTTCTGTCAGCATCCGGGTGATCTCTTTTGCGGCGGTGCGAGTGCGCATCAAGGGATACCATCGATCTTGAATGGCCGATGCCTCCTGAGCCTCTGGCCGGTGCAGGGTCAAGGTTACAGCGCGATATATTAAGCACAGTGCATAGCAATGTACGTCTATAATCGAAAATGACGCAGGCGCCTTATTAGTTTGGTTCAACGCGGGCGATTGCTGAACCACTTGAGGAAGCGCGTTGTTCCAAGCCATCAACTCATCATCGAGGATGGAGGCATTTGGCTTCCAAGTGCCTGCGGGTTTCGGATAGAGTAATAAAGCGCGCAGGTCGGATGATTTGCGAGATTCTTCGTCTTTGTATTGCGCTGTATAGTGATCGTGGAAAATCTTGCTGATGATCACGCAGAGCTTCGTCTTTTCGATGCAGAGAAGCGCCAATTCCTGTTGCTGGCCTACTGTAAGAAGACGAGGGAACCACGCTGCCAAGTGTCCCTGAGGGTCAGTAAAGACGTCGAAGTCTCGATCCTGGAGCATCTTCGTACTGAAGTCGTCCTTTCTGATCCGCGGTGGCTGGCGAGTCGCAAGGCCAACCATCTGATCCTGCATGAAGCACGCCCACCAGAGCCTCCGCCTGAGCTTGCGGAGACTGGGCTCAAAGCCGAAGGTCTCGGGGTCGATATGCAAGCCTATATTGTATGCGTACGAGATGGCGATGCCGCTCCAGTGCCAGGAGTTTGTGGTGTTGTGTCGCGCCTCGAACGAGTATGTCATGAGGAGCGTGGTCTGCACAATGGCCAGAGCATCAGACTCGTAATTTAGGTCGTACAGCGCCTGTCAACCGCATTAATTATGATCAACTGTTTATCCAGCGAACGGGGCAAACTGACTTTGGCTCGTTGAAAATACACATTTAGCGCAGCTCGGTTGTCTTCAAATCCCTCAGCTTCTAGCTTTCGAGAGTCGACAAAGGGGCACGCGGCAAGCATCACGGCTTGGTACACCATCAGACTGATTTGGCCAGCGCTGCCGTCGCCGCGAGTCACGGCGTTGAGAAAATTGGAGAGGTCGAGGATGGGTAGCATGGGATGGACCAGGCCGATGTAGGCCTCGAGCAACGCATTTTGGATGCCAGGTGAAGGCAGCGTGAAGGCATCGCTCGCGTGCAGCTTCTGGATGTTTAGTGCTGTAATATTCAGCCCTGGAGGCTTGCAAAATAATGGGATTTTCGCATCCACGGGCGTATTCTCTGGCGGTTGAGGTGAGCGACTCCCCGCCACTGTGTGCTGTGAGGGCAGCATGGCTGGTTTCGACGCAATCTGCTGGCTCTAGAATTGATCACGAAGAAGAAGAATTCGTGCTCTCGGTGTTTTGATCCACGTAAACATGGATCCTTCCCCTTGGCTGGCCCAGGCTTGGCCCGCAGGCTTGTCTTCATGCTACTAACTGCAAGTATGATGACTTGGCCTGTTTTCTCTATCTAATCTGGCATCCGAGATATCCGATACAAAGGCGGTCTTGGCCCAAGGCGTAGACCCGACTCGCAAATAATGGCCCGAATCTGCTGATCTGACATGGGCAATTTAACGGCAATCACATGTGATACTGTCCGCTTATTTCACTACCCCCTTGGAGATTGGAATATCGTCTGAGGCCTACGTCATGCCTGCAACAAGGACCCTAATTACAGCAATGCCCAGCTTAATAGACAAAGTAGAAACTGTTGAGTGAAGGCTCCGTTAGGGCTGAGAAGAAAAGCCTGGGACTCCGTTTTAGAGTGCTGACTCTCCACTACCAGAACTTGAAAGTCCCTGTTATTAGCGCTCGCTGTCGTCGCATTCTCAGCACTAATGTTACGCTACTCAGTGTGTTTCAGCCAGAAGGGCGGCAAGGATCAGCCCGGCGGTAATGAGATGGGCCAGTATCCCGTATCAGTTAATAGTACATTCCTATCCCGTTGCTCACCATAGATTCTCATCGGTGATGGTAATAAAGTGCTTGTTGAGACGATTCTGAGTCTACTCTACAGCTTATTTCCCTCCTGTCATCTGAAGATAGCGTTGGCCAAACGCATCATTCCATCCACCCACAACTTGCTCCCCCATTCCAGCTGTGATGATAGTCTCTCCTGCCTCCAACTTGGGGACAATCGTGGCCATGAATTCCTCAACTGTGAGAGTATGAGGGCTGAACTCTTTCTTGTTGTCATCTGGATTCTCTCTATCACGGTGTAGGTCTGTTGCTACCATTGGCGGTACGATCTCGACCACTCGGATGTTCGAGCCCTCCCGGGCTATCTGAGTACGTAGATTCATGGTCCAGAAGTGAATCCACGCCTTGGTCGCGTTGTAAACCGGATTGACCACCGAAAAGGGAATGAATCCCAGGACACTGGACACATTGATTATCATCGCGCTTGACTTGGTTCGGAAATGGGGCAGTAGTCCAATAGACAGGTGCATCGGCCCTCGGATGTTGATGTCGATTTCCTCGTCGGCCTTTTCAAGATACTCCGCTTCATTGGAGATGTCTAATACGCGCTGAACAGCCGCGTTGTTCACCAAGCAGTCCAGGTCAGGGTGCTCAGCGGTGATCTTGGCGATGAAAGGCGAGAGAGCATTAATCTTTCCAGTATCGACCACATAATACCCGGCTGCCCCAATAAGTCGGGCGGTTTCTTGCAAATTGGACTCAGTACGTCCTGCAAGCAAGACCTTCGTGCCCTTCGAAATAAGGTACTCGGCGATCGCCCTGCCGATGCCACCTGCGCCCCCTGTGACGAGTGCGCAGCTAGATTTGATGTCTGGAGCCATTTTTGGATCCTTGTAGGTAGATATCCTTTGGGACTTGATTTTGCCCGACTACCAGGGTTTGTAGTCGCTGTGGTAAGAGGCCTCAGTTTGTATGAGGGGTAGCAAATCGCTCATCCTAGATTTCTGGTCTCTTTGTTATCCTGACCTGGCCAATGATATACTCTGTTACATCAGCACTGCATGTCATTACATCATACATAATGCATGTTAACAATCTGAGTATGAATTAGAGGCACATCACGAACAGAGGAAAATAACTTCGAATATTGAGAGGACCCCTTTCAATATCATTAAATCCCATTCAGCGCCGTCCGCATACTTGAGCCTTGTGGTCTATTCGTGCTGAGATGATGATAGGTTTGATTTAAGTTGATACCGCAGCTTCTTAACACTACAGCGTTATGTCTCTAATTCTATACTTATTGGAACTATCGAAGGCAATTGAAAAGAAAATCACAAGAAGAGGGCGACTAGTTCTCCTGAAATCCGCGTCAGCTTATATTCACAGACTGATGTGCACTGAAATTAGTAGTAAGAAAAGCCATCCCAGGCATCAACGAGGCAAACATGTCACAGGACTTTACAGGACTGGAGATTTTCTACTTATTTTGGTATTTATGCTACTAGCTATTGTTCTTATGAGGCTCTGTAGTGTGCTTGCTTCCTTATTCTATGAGTCTTCGTCTTCGCCCGTGATAGGCCGTTTCGTAGAGACTCGTCTGCACAGAAACTTGGTGATCAATATGTACACTTCGGTGTTTTTTCAAAAAAGAATCCATTCACAATTTTCCTATCGTACTAAAGTGACGCAGATAACTTGTAAGGCGTGTTAATTTGATGTAAAGCCTCCATCAACCACCTGCACAGCGCCCTGCATGTAACTATTCATTGGCGAAGCCATCAGAACAATAGCATCTGCGCATTCTTCTTGCAGGCCTATTCTTTGTAGAGGTGTCCGACCAAGGTCTTGAATCAAGGGCGCATATGGATTAGTTGTCTCTACTGATGAGGCATCGAGAGGCGTGCCAATGTAGCCCGGCGCAATGGCATTGATGCGTATGTTGTATTGAGCATACGCGTTTGCATCTCCTTTCGTTAGGCCAATGACGCCTATGTACAGCATTAGTAGGTAAGTAGCTGTAAGATAGAGAGGATGTTTCATAAACAGATGCTTACCATGCTTGGCTGCTGTGTAGGCCGTTTGGGCGATCCAGGGATTTGGCGCAACAAAGCCGTAAATAGAGGTTACATTAATGATGCTCCCGCGGCCTTCTCTCGGCCCATGGTCTCTGCAGGAACCCTTCTGTTTAGCTTGTGTCTCTTTAGAATATAAGAACTTGTTCGACACTCACTCTTGTTTGATCATAACCGCCAGCTCTTCCTTCTGGCACCGATACACACCATGAAGATTCACATCCAACACCCTCTCGATATCTTCATATTCCGCTTCATGTGTGAGCTTCCCGGAACCCCCTATACCAGCATTGTTGACGGCGATATCCAGTCTGCCGAATGCACTGACAGTTTCGGCGATTCCTCTGCGCACTTGCTCCTGGTCCCTTACATCCATCTGGATAGGCACAATCTCAACATGGGGGAACATCTTCTTTACATCCTGGTATGTCGTTGTAAGTAGGCCCTTGTCGATATCCGCCATCGCAAGCCGCTTGACTCCATGCCTAGCGAAGGCAATTGCAGTGTGCCGGCCAATTCCTGACCGTATTGGAAAGACACTATTTAGTAAATGAACCAAGCATTCCATTCAAAACGATGTGACTTACCATTTGCAGCACCGGAAATTAAGGCCGCACCTTTCAACAGTGTGGCCATGTTGAAGAATTGCGGCGAGGTATTGCCGTCTCAAATTGAGAGTATAATAAGAGATCGCCGCCAAAGTCAGCAATAGTAGAATCCCAGCGTGTCAAGAGAGTCCTGGGGGCTCATCGAATTTTGATGGAAAGATTCACGAATTGATCAACCCCCAGAAAATAGCCCAGAATGCAGTCATCTGATCTGATCGGGTCATTCGAGTGGTGCCATATACTTTCCGAGGCATCCCTGTCAAGCGGCGGTTACCGATCAGCATTGTAGGAGCAATCAGAGGTTACGGCGGTCAATCGAATGCTACTTGATGCTTCCGAACGATATTACATTGCATATCTTAATTACTTTATAGATCAATAATGGCTCGAGTAAACAGCTGGCAATAAAAGCTGCAACAAGCCCATCTGAAAGAGCCCCCTTGCATGTAGCTAACCCCGCTCATGCATCTCGTCCCGAATTGTCCCGTGAGCTTCTTTACCCTGGTAACGCAGTAGATCTGTTCCTATCCTCAACTCATCTAAAGGCAACTTGTCATGAACAAGCTCTCGGCTGTCGAAGACGATGAACCCGTAGCTAATATTTCTAATCCATTTAAACTAAGCGGATAGTTACTGTACTTCATATGAGGGAGCTAGTGTCCTTTCCAACACCGGAACAAAACACAATTTAAATCCCTAGCCTCTTACAGGTTTCCAATAGAATCATAATCTATATCTGCTCCGTAACCGGCACCTCCAACAAAGTAGACGGACGCTATCTACTAATTAGCATGTATTGAGCATAGAAGTTAGAGCAGTCTTCTCAACGCTGCTAATCTTCAGGCTCCACGTGCTCTTAACTGCAACCCATGCCTTGGCATAGGTACAGTAAAAGCCAGTCAGAGGGGGCTTCCATGAATCAGGGCTCTTGTCACCCTTCGAGCGGTTGGTGCTGGCATCGGTAGCCCACAGCTGGGGGTGGTCGATGTCGTTGGCAAAGGCCTCGCGGCGAGCGGTTGTCCAAGACTTGGCACCAGACTAGCAAAGAAAGCCTTGTTAGCCATAATTCGCTATTCCTTTTGAGGCAGGGTCGCCACAAGGTGTGTGGGCAACTCACAATCCAGGCATTCTTCAACGGGACCATGTGGTCGATGTCGACGCTACTGGCTGCGGTAATAGTCTTGCCGGAGTAAGGGCAAGTCCAGCTGCCTGAAGTAGGGTAACAATCACTCCCAACTTTTACATTGTTGCCATCGCGGCGGAGAACCCATTCTCTGCAAAGAAAGAGTCAGAATAATAGCTGACCAAGTTGTCTATAGGTAGGTACTACTAACCGAGCTGAGCAAGCTGGCTCGTCATCTACGGACTCCCAGTGGGGGAATAGATCACGGTCGTAGGTCCCATCGTCAGTAATAGTGGCCACTGTCAGACTAGCTAGAAGGGACTTGGCGGAAGAAGTAGAAGGAATTCCAGGCTAAGCATCATTCTGTTTAGATAGCTGATAATAATGACCTTTGAGGGGGAAGGCTTACAGGAGTTGCGGCAACAAATGCCACGGCAGAGACCAGAATGGCAGAGATGAACTTCATAATGATTGAGAACCGGGGAATGACTGGTTAAATGAGAGCGAAATGCTGATATGAACAGGCGTGGGTTGGCAAGAGCAGTGCATCAAAGGGAGCGAGTTGACCCTAGCGGAAGACGCCGATATATATGGACAAAGATAGATTGGGAGACTTGGTTAATGATAGTAGAAACATCAATGCCTTTCGCCCGATTAGTGTCGGAACATGATAAGTGTAGAGGTTGCGTGCACTCACAATCTCACCTGCCTGATTCGCTTAAGCGACAGACTCAAGACCTCCCTGTTCCAGACCATTATAACCACGAGTGATAACGACTTGTTGAGGGCTACTGCGTGGCCACCTACATTAGGGAAGTTTGCCGTCTTGGCTGCCAACTGTCAGAGTCGTTCCCATCGACTTGCCTAGTAAGAAGTGTGTCCCGCCCACCACATTGGCAAACAATTGGCAGCGAGCAATGCCGGACGGGTAAGCATTTGCCGTTAATCAGCAGATTGGGTGGGGTTGAGCCTTATAATTTCTGGGCATGCACAATATCAATTTCTCAGGGCATGAAAGTATACTGAGAACCAATCAGGAACATACCTCGGGACACACTCCTAAGCAGTCGGTTTCAGAAACCCTCTGAGCCGCTTGTCCCTATGGGACTTTGTATTTTGAAAATGATAAGGCTCTTGCGTCAACTTTACTTGCGAAAAGAAAGAGCGCAATGCCAAGGGCTTGGCGAGGGGTAGGTTTCATCAGGTTGAAGAGATATCATTTCTCGCACGTCAAAAACTGAGATGATCAGTTACCGCACTTCGTCCAACAGGTCGCGGTCTAATTTCTACGGCTATTCATGTAAGCAGTTGATGAGACTCAAGTAAAACAACTAACATCCCAGCTCATCGAAGGCAAGTACAGCTAGGGAGGGAATCTTTATGAGAAAAGGATATAAGCCAGTCTTGTCCTCAGTCCAAATGCCCTGTCAAGAGCACCATATTGTGAGTTTCATGATTCACATTTGATTCACATAAATTAGTTAGAGGTAAAGAGACTTGCTATATCACCTAGCTTTAGAGACACTAGTTCTTGAATAGAGAGAAAGTAGTTGGCTGAAACCAATTAAATCTGATATTGAGCCCGCGATCCCGTAAGCTTCAAGTTTAGATTTTCATGTTCATTTTAGCTATTTCTAACTCTCCCTTTCCGAGCTCTAGGTAGAAAAGAGGACATAGATAGGAAGAGAGTAGGGAAATCTTTTTGAGGTAATGACGCTCCAGTAGGCTCACAATAGTCGTCGACAAAAACTAAAGCGTCGCTTCCAGCTTGTTGATATACTGATCATAGAATATTCTTTCTGCTACATTCTAGTCCAGCTGCGACCGCCATTCGGAAGACGCGACAAAGGATATTTTGCAGAGAAGACTTCCATGCGTCGACAGCTCTCTTTTCGTTTTATTTCTCTTCTTGACTTCGATGGAAGTCATTTTTCTTGCCTAATTGAGCAACACATAAGCCGAAAAGTTGCACACCATGCCCGCGGAAACCTCAAATATGTGTATGATGGCGTTGTGTTACTCAACTGCGTCCCATAAGAGCAAGCCGCATACATCGATTTAAAGTAGGGTTTAATTAACCGGTCTAAAGGATTTAACACTATCATCGATTTATCTCGGTAAAATTCTGCCAAAAAGGTTATTGAAATGCCGAACGTCTGTGGAGAATTATACTCAAAGAAGGGAAACTACTCACGCCTCATCTCACTCTCACGAACGTGAATAGGAGATGCTATATCAAAGGCTACCTTTTCTCGTCATTTGACGTTATCTATCAACTAAATCGTCATATTCTTCGTCTATACGCGCACATTGGCGAATGTCCGGGTGTTGGCCCGGACTCCGGACTTACCTTGGATTATCTCCGCCCCCCTTGAAATTGATCGTATGGAAATCCCATTCTAGCACGTGAACTAATCTTCAATCATTCATACGAGACAAGACGAACCGGCGCCAATATGAGCAATAATTTCTTCTTCATCGATGGCATCCAAGCCGATAGAAACACCAAAAAGCAGATGCGGCGCCATGTCATGAAGGGCAAGAATGCAGGAAAGAAATTCCATCGGCCGTCCAAGCTTGTGCCTGCCGGTCCCAAGATCATCGATACCTGGAGCAGATCGGAAGTTGCTCGCCAATTCAACAAGGGTGAATCGCTTTCACTCGATGTTGACAGGAGTTTCGGCGACGCTTACCACTCCTGCAATATTCCTGTACCTGTTCCGTCAGCTGCGCGGCGAATCATCGATGAATGTAAGCGCCATTCCGACACAATCCATTTCAGGAGATCCAATACTAAGAGAAACCCCGCTAGTTTTCATCTTGACAGCCGATAGAATGTATCCTCCAAAGTTGGGGATCTCGCTGGAAGAGGCCAAATGCATGTGGCTGAAAGTCCTCTTTGAAGATCAGGCCAGTAAGTCTCAAGATGGTCCACCTGGAGTCACATGCCTGAACTAAGAAAAGCAGCTTACGAATGCAATTTGGCCATGATGCAAACTTGCAACGAAATATATCTAGGTCATGGGGACAGCTCAGCCAAGGTCCTTTACTCTCTGTCGCGGACAGTCAGCCATGTCAAAAACAAGCTAGAGAGTCCTGATGCTCTCTCCGACTCTACCATGACACTGGTGCTATCCCTCATAAGCCAGGAGCAGCTTAAGAAATTCGACTCAAGGGCAAAGATCCACCTTGATGGCCTTCGGAGAATGATCGAGCTTCGCGGGGGACTAGAACAGTTGGAGGGGAAACCGCCGCTGTTGCTCAAGGTCTGCAAGTATGTTCAGTGATCCATCCCCACCCGTGCTATTTCGGGTTTCTAATGTTCTGTGCTGATTCCTGGCTTGAATCCTCAAAGGGTGGATGTTGTATTTGCACTCCAGTTTGGAGGTCCGACGGCATTCTTTAGAGATGAAATGCTTAGAGTTCGTGCAGAGATGGCTTCTAAAGGCCGTTTCCAGAGACTACTTGCATTACCAGCTATCCATGACAAGAATACACCAAACCCTCTACTCAAAGAAGTTCTGTTGGATGTGTTGGATGTTTCAGCTCTCATCAACGGCAACAAGTCCAAGCTAGTTGTGGATCTTATCAACTTCCAGGAGATCCTCATGTCGGTCTTCTATCGCCTTCTTCGCATGCATCCGCTCCAAGGCGTTCCTCTTACCAACGATGCAGACGCAATGTACCACTTAGGACTGCTGATCTTCATGCTGACTTTGTTCATTACAATTGAGAAGCAACGCATTCTAGAGTGTTGTCCCGTATCTGATGCTGTCAGGGAGCTCCTTGATCGCGATCTGAGCAAATCAAGTGATGAATTAGTCCTTTGGTTTTTGCTGATTGGCGCAATTTGGACCTCGACAGTAGAAGGAGATTGGATTCTTCCTAACCTACAGGAAGTAAGAAAACGGTTATGCCTCAATAAGTGGGAAGAAGTGCAATGTCGGATTGAGTCATTTCCATGGATTAGCGTTTTACATGACGAACCAGGCCGCTCTTTGTGGATTCGGCTTGAAGATATGTAGAGGCCTCAATGATCAACAAATATTTACGGGGCTTGGCGTGTAAAAGCAGACTTCTCACGTTCCATTGCTCCAATAGTATCCGAAATACCTAGGATGTTCATCATACTAATGATGTATTTCACCAAGAGAACTCCTGCTTCACCAACTTCTCAGATAGCTTCCATAGCTTCTCAGCCTCCTCGCTGGATGTAGCCAAGGCAGTGGCAGTGGTGCTGACCTGGCAATCTACCAGGTAAGCTCCAAGGTTCTCGCTTCCGTCCCTTGTTTCCACCCTCAGCTTCGGGTCCAAGGCTGCCACCAGGCTGGTCGAAGCCCCGGCTTCCAGGCTCCGATACATGTAGTAGTTGCGATCGGATAGGGCTTTGATAGCCCCCAACGTCTTGTCATCAAAATATCTAACCAGCTCAGTGTGAATGACACCTGGATGTACAGCCGTGGCCAAAATGCCATGGGTCTCAAAAAGCCTCTTGTTAGCACCAATTCCGAACAGCACGTTGGCCACCTTGCTTCGGTTGTACCCATCGATGGGCACGTAAGTTTCCTCCTTGAGATCTTGCGTGTAGCCCCATGATTTCAAAAATTCGTACTGCGGCTGCTCTTCCTCGGGCAAGTCCTTGTTCTTCTTCTCAAAATTGATGTCACTCCAGCGGAAGGAGGAAACTGTGTCCCATGATTAGCAGCTTGGTCCTCTCGGAAAGGTGTCTCGGGCCATACGAACGTTGAGGTGAGCCTGAGCTGACATTGACGATGCGGGTGGCGCCTTTGGGGCTAGACTCCGCGGCCTTGATCAGCTTAGGCATGATGAGGCAAGTGAAAAGCCAGTGGCCAATATGGTTGGTGGCTAAATGCAGTTCAATGCCATCCTCGGACAGCGTGCGCTGTTGCATTCCAGCGACGCCAGCGCTGTTGATGAGGATGTTGACCTCCGGGATGTCAGACCAGGAGAGGAAATTAGCGGCGGCGGCTCGGACAGATTTCTGGCTCGAGAGGTCAATCTCCAGCAGCCGGTAGTCCACATCGGGGTACTCGGATTTAAGGGCATCAATGCAGGCTTGGAGTTTGGCTGGAGTACGCCCGGCGAGGATGAGGCGAGCAGGACCCTGTGAAGCCTAGAGCAAAAAGTTTCAGTCAGGTTCGAAACGAAACAGTTCAGAAGCCATCTACGGAACTTACCAAGGCCTGGGCCGTGGTGAAGCCAATTCCATTGCGGTTCACACCCGAGACAATAATTGTCTTGCCGCGGACGCTGTCGGGAAAGGCTTTGGCTACTTCAATGCCCTCGGTATTAGCATTGAACTCTGGATGGGTTGTAGGAGCCATGTTGAAGTTTTATAGGATGGATAATGGGACAAGTTTGTTCTGTCGTACGTGTGTATCAGGATGAGCAAGGAGGATGAAGAAGAGTTGATGACAACTTGAAGTTTCTTCCGTCTCAGTGTGCCAATCGGTCGGTTCTTATACTTTTCCAATCTCCTCAAATACACAAAGGTAAGCTTCATATTTGCATCACAAGCAGGCAACGTCCAGTAAGAGACCTATTACCCTATTTGTTAACTCGACTATGACCTCGTGTGATCTCTGCTGCTCTTCAGATCGGTCCAATGAGAGACTTAATACCCTATTTGGCTTAGCTAAAGTGTGAATATACTGGAGATCTTTATCGAATCAGCCAATAAGAGACTTGTTACGCTTTCAGGAGGCATTGAAGCGCGAGACACCAACCAACAGTTAACTCAACATGAGCCTCAATATGAATGCCCCAGCGCGGAAGCCTCGGCGTGGAAGATAGACTCTCATTTTTCCCTTCCTCAATATCTTTAATTATGATTAGTAATCTTAAGCGTAATATTTCTTCTTGTGTTCATTTGAATGTTCTATGTACACCTTCTAGTTGAGCTACCTACCCTATAGACCCCCGGGTAGAGTTCCCATACCCTTGCTCTTCGATTCCTAGCCTATGTAGAAATATTAATAACAATAAATTATTAGTAGTAATTGTTTGTGAAGTTTGCCTTTACCATATTCAACCACATCGCTTTTTCTAGAATAGCTTGTGTCGTGCGCTGTTCGTCATATGAAGTGTTCATTATTAGGAGTCCACCCACCTAAGGAAACAAGAGCTGACTCCTCTAGAATGCCGAATGGGTTTGTATACTGTTACAGTTAGTAATTCTTCCATTTCTCACCTCCCATTTCTTATTTTTGGCGAACTCATGCCGAGTAACTTTTCTGTCTAGTTTTCCGGCTTTCCCGGTTAGGCATGTTGACGGTGGGTTCGGAGAGTTGGTTTCAGTTTCCAGGGGTACAAACTAAGTGCCGATAACGGCTTTCTAGAATGAAGCTTATTCTGCGTGCTACGCTACATTAGAGGTTTTGTCAGGGGAACAGTCCCGGCCTGGCCATCTCGGTGTGGCTTAACAGTTCAACTCCGTACCTGACTAGCCTCAGTGGGTGGGAATCATTGTAGGCTGACAAAAGCCAGCCCGGACATACGTGCATGAAAAGTGAAAATCGGGCCCGCGGGAAGCGAGGAGAGCGAAAAATGACCTCAACGGCAGGCCCGGACAGCCTGCTCCGACCCACACGCACGGCCAACGATGTCATTGTGCGCGTATATTTAAATTAGACAGCCTGATAAGGCGGGTCTCCTTCCACGGATACCGAGATCTGGATCACGGCACCCGATGCTGGTGCTTTTCATCGGCTGGCCCGTAGAACGCCTGCCGTGTATTCTAGAAGAGCGCTTGATGATAGTCCTTGTATAGCATCCTGGGAGTGAAATCGGGATGCAGCGCCTATAGAAAGGGCTAACGCCCTCAAGATTGATAGCCATCAGTCTCCAGAGGCAAAGTCAAAAAAGAGCCATAGCCATGATAAGTTCATCTAGATACCTTTTTTGAACATGCGTCCGTCTGGGCGACCTAATCAAGCAACCACCGGGTTTTGGACGCTGATTTGAGTCAAGTAGAAGAAGAAAGGCCCCCACCACGAGCCTAATTCTGAATCATGCAAAACGTTTATGAACATATTTAGCATATGACCGGGATGTAGCCGTTCGTATCATGATTGTGGACAGACCATGATGGGGCTCTTGCCACGTCGTAACCCCACCACTTACAAGCAAGACTCTCGGCGTCTCGGCCCCTGACTTCTGGTTCCGTGAAGTGGGCGGGGACTTTTGACGGCCAAGAAACTGTTTGTTCTCTTTCATAGGCCGGACTATACCGTCGGTAGTATTCTCCGTGACACGAGAGGAAAGCAGATGGGATGGAGTCAATACGAAGAAGAATCTGCTGCATTTATGGAGTCAGCCCACTTCCCACTGACCGTATCACCGGTATTTTACATCCTGTCCTCGCTGTTCTTTCGTGGTTGGTCTTCTCTGCTTCATCCAGTCACTCGTTTCTCATAATACAAAAAAAAACTTAACTACTAGTCATTCGCTATTATTATCAATCTAATATTTATTGTCAAAATGCGGTCATTCACATTGCCCATCCTCTTTGCAGGCTCCGCCGCAGCACGAACTTTTAGCCTCGAAACCCGCGCCGATGGCTGCAAGGATGTTCACATCTTCTTGGCCAAGGGAAACAACGAGCCCTACCCAGGACGTCAAGGAAAGCTTGTCAATGCCATCTGCGACGGTCTCCCCAGCTGCGACTACGAGGATATCCTGTTCAACAACCCCGGCGGCTCTGACTACTGTGTTGCTACCAACGAGGGCATGGTCAATGGAAAGGCCCAGGTTATCGCCTACAATGAGAAGTGCCCTGACTCGAAGTTGGTTCTCAGTGGATTCTCTCAGGGTGGTGATGTTGTGAGCAGTATCCTGGCTGGAGGTGGCGGTGACATCTTTGGATGCACATATCCTGCCACCACTCCCCTCGGTGCTTCATCCAAGGCCGGTAAGAAGAGTAAGTCTCCCCTAGGATAACTCAATGTCTCCTATGTCGAGACAAAGGCATTGTGGAAATATCATCATCTGACAGGAACAATAGTTGCTGCTGCTATGGTCTTTGGTGATGTTCGCCATACTGCTAACCAGCCCTGGAACGTCCTCGACGGTGCTTCTGGTCAAGGTGTTGTCCCCCGTACCCCCGAAATGCTTGCTGAGCTCGCTCGATATGGAGCTACCTTCCGCGACTACTGCAACGCTGGCGATGGTGTTTGCGGCGACGGCAATATTGTCGATGAGCACTTGAACTACTTTGACAAGTACAGCAACATCGCCGCTGAGTTTGTCCACGAGCGTCTCCGTGCCGTCTCTGGTCCTGCATCCACCTCGATATCTGCCTCCTCCGCAGTCTCTACTAGCAAGACTCCCGGCGCCACCAACTCAGTAGCATCCAGCACCTTCAGCCACCCCAACAATTCCACCGTCACCACTGGCCACAACGCCGGAACTACTTCTGCCCCTGATGTCTCGGTCACTGCCCCCCACCACGGCAACAACCCCTGAGTTACCTCGCGGCCTGCGCCCATCACCACCGTCATCACCCAGACCCTGACCGTCACCGAGGACTGCGAGTCAAAGGGCTCGACCTTCTTCGAGACCGTCACCCTCACCGCCAAGTGCCCCATCTGCACCAAGATCCCCGAGTACGCTACCGTCACCGACCTGTACGAAGGCCCGACCACCACCGGCACCCAGGGTGCGTTCGTCAGCAACGGCAACCACTTCCCCGTCCAGACCGGCACCGCTCAGCCCGGCAACGGCCCCAAGTGGACCACCTTCACCACCGCCGGTCACGTCACCACTGCCTACATCCCCGGAGGTTCTGCCCAGCCTAGCTCCGGCCTTGGAGGCAAGCCTGGAAACTCGGACAGCAACGGCAGCGGCCCTGAGTCCCCTACCAAGCCTTCTTCCGCTTCTGGCAACTCGCCCGCTGCTCCCAGTGCTCCTGTGAGTGGCGCAGCTAACATGGTTCCCCATTTCACAGCCATTGTTGCTCTTTTGGCCATGATGGCCTTCTAAATTGACTCTGGAAACGGCAATCGATTCAAGGGTGTTAATGCGTTGGATAAAGTAATGGTGTTGGGGTTGAGGGAGGTTGGAGTTGTCGATGTGCTGGTGTTTATTGAGATTTGGCTTGGGTTCATTCTCCGGGTTTTGGGAATACTTCAATTGTTTGTTGGAGCGGTATCATTAACGAAACAAACTACCTACCATCGAGGCAACACTAACCTCTATTTTGACATTATCTTTCTTTTCTCACTGGAGCGGCGTGATGTCCGAACGTGTCTGCAGAGTAGTTCGAATTCCATGATTGGCAAGGCCCCCTGTTCGAGTAAGCCCAAGCCCACCCTCACATATCACGGCTCACTCGTTTGCCAAGTACAGCAACCTTAGCTCAGTTGTGGCGAAGCTGATCGAGCTGGGCTACAGATCGTCGCTTCTTCTTGCTGACCTACTTTTAGGTCTTTACTAACTATGTAGGGAGAGGTGATCACGCCAATCGCTTCTTGAAAGATACAAGTCGGGACCCTAGGTGCAGTCGGGAGATGGGCAATTCTTAATCCCCAGATGAAAAGCTGTTTTGGAGTAACGGTGGAGCTTCGACCTCAGCTGCTGCGCCCCAAACTCCAGCCCTGTGGGAGCGAAGCCCAAGAGGGGATGAAAAGCCGGCGATCCTCATACCCTGGCGTCAGATTTGGATCAAGCTCAGTCCAAGGGACTCATCTGCTAGTCTGAATCAGGTCACCAGGTTGCAATGAGGTCATCACCGCTCGGGGGAAGAAAAAGCAACAAGTGGCGGCGGATCAACAACACGCCAAGCAGCCCAAACACACGCCAAAAGGCTGCGGCAATTAAGTCTAACCCGCATGGTGCGACGGCCGGTGAATTTGTTACTGGGCCACAGGTCATCAGTCACAATCTTGAATGATCGAAGGAGGCACTTGCAGGATTTAGCGCTTCAGCCTCAGCAACTAAACTGGACTTGGCCAAGCGAGATCACCGTTCCATGTGAGCATAAAGTTGCCACGGGAAACTTGCCCGGGATTGTGCTGCCAGGCAGCTATCAGCCTGAGTTTTGGGTGCTTATCCAGAGGCCAGTTGCCTGTCGTATTTTTCGTATCTGTTGTTGGCGTGGGTCGACTCCAAGGAAACCCATGCAGGAGACTTGCACTAGATAATAAGCCATCCTGCACATTATAAAGAATTGGGTTGGTCCCTGATTGATCCCTTTATCAGATTTTGTCTGACATTTGATCAACACACGTTCGACTGAGATCGGCTAAGATGCTCCCTCAAGCTCTCCTCTTCCTGCTGGCCCCTCTGGTGGTCGCGGAAGCCTCACCCAACGCCCCTTCAGACATTGTAGTCAACTTCGACCGCAGCCTCGAGGGCCTAGTTTCAGTCGAGCAGAGAGAAGTCGAAGTCGTCGACAATGTTGGAATCCCATCCGAGTTCAGCACCCCTAAGAAGGGATTGGACGCCGTGGACGCGAACAGCCTCCTTGACTCTCGCGCAGTTCTCGATACTCTCTTGAACAAGCGCCAAACCTCATGCAGTCCCGGATACGGTTATTGTGCCAGTGAGTCGTCTCTTGCCCGCCTGCCGTGACCTTAATGTTTCACCATCTAACAAGTACCTGTAGGCTTTGGGCGCTGCTGCCCCTCGAGTTCAAGATGCTGCACTTACGGCTACTGTATTCAGCCAAACGACACCTGCTGCCCCAAGGGTCCATGCGACGGCGATCAGGGATGCTGCGGCGCCAACAACTGCTACCCCAAGACCGGCGAATGCTGCTCCGACGGAAGCTTCTGCTATGCCGGCAACCATTGCTACATCAGCACGTCTAGGGGCCGACTCTGCTGTACCGATAGTAAATGCACGGCGGCTGTTGATCGCTACGGAACGACAACCTATGCGAGCACCTCGACCTCGACCACCCGGCTGACGACTACTCGCGCCCAATACTACTCCTGGACGTACACCTACTGGTACTGGTACTACTACTGGACCGTCTCTGTCCAGATCGATGCTTCCATCGTCACATCTACTCGAAGAACAACGACCACAATCTTCAGTGTCCAGACCACGGATGCATCCGCTGCCTCCTCGTACTTCAGCGAGCTCTCGAGAACCGTCACCGTCCCAACCCCCGCCGAGGCCACGAGCCTGGAAAGCCTGGCCGGTTCGACATCCTTTGGCAGCGCGGCGACTCGGTCGAGCACGAGCAGCAGAGCCAGGTCGACTGCGGCCGACAGCACCGATGATGACACCTCCACCGATTCCAGCTCCACGTCTTCCAGGAGCTCTTCCACAACCGCTGCTGGGACTACCTCAGTCGTCCAAGGCTCACCCGGCGGCAGCTCGGCTGCTGCGCGGCTGTGGTCTGGCATGGACGCGCCCGTCATGGGCTTCTTGTCCTTTGGGCTCGGTGTGGGCATTCTGGCCGTGATGTTGTAAATGAATCATTTTCGGATTCTCATGAGTATACGATAGCATACATTTAGTTTATTAATTAGAATAAATATCCCCTTTGGACATAGCGTTGCTGAAGCGAACTTGAACGTTCATACTGACCTGCGTGAATAAGGCATCGTGAAAGAGAATGAAACATGGTCGCATTGTGTTCGACATCCGCTATTGCTGTAGCTACATGAAGAGGGATATCCGGAATAGTGGTCATCGAGAAATCCAAGTCTGTTAAGGTTTTAATGAATAGAGATGTCGAGACGGGATTCTGGAACTGGTTATGAAATCCGCGGGGTTTGGCTCAAATCCCGCCATATCCCGCGGATTACAGATTGAGGCACACTATGATGTACGGAAATCCGAGATGGAAAATCAGAAGATCATGTTGAATAGTGGCCTGAGTTAGAATGAACCTAAACTCTCCCTCAACTATAAATGAAGGGTGAAGCCGCCTTGCTTGGAATTTCTCATTCCATCCAATTCGATCCAGAACAGAACGACACCATCAACTGCAAAACAAATCATTCATCACCCATCCCCAAAACTTAAAATGTCTTCCAAGCTCGTGCGAATTACCATTCTTGTGCGCAAAAGGGACGATTTGAGCCACGAGGAGTTTCATAAGTAGTGAGTTTTCTTTCTCTCGAGAGTGCCGTGCCAATCGGAAGCTGTTATATAGAAGCCAATTTGAACTCAAGAGTCTAACGAAAGCGGCAACCGTAGCTGGTCTGAGAAGCATCCCGATATCTGGCTTTCCGTGCCTATTGTGCAAGACAAGATCGTCAAATACTCCCAGTTCCACGCAAACGAAGCTGTTCGGAGTGCCTACGGGTCCGCAATGCCACTGGCTTCCTACGACGGCGCTGCTGAGATGTGGGCGGCAAGTATGGAGGACCTCCTTGAGGTGAGTTTATGTCCAGTATTCACTTATTTCTTTGCCTTTTAGCGTTTATAGGCGATACTAACTGTTTCCCTCTCCAGGTCTTTACAAATGAAGAGTATCTGAGGATTGTTGTCCCAGATGAGCAGAAATTTCTCAAGAGAGAGGAAGCCCAGATGATTGTTGGTTGGGAAGAACCCAAGTGGTTTGACGGTAAAAGGGTCTGAACAACTACGACGACAGCGCCGGAAATCTTATGAAAGAAACGAGTGAATATAATTGGTCCCTCGTTTACTTGAATCCAATTATTTTTATTTCTTCTCAAGGCTTAAACAGCTGTCCAAATGAGACGCTAAGTCTGCTCTTCCGCCGCCTGTGACTTGACGACGGTGATAGCTTCCGGTTCTCTAGCGCCGCATCAAAGTTGATTGAGTTGTCGGATATCAACCCAATGTTGTGAAGTTGTGCGCCCTAGATCCAAAAGATTAGTATCCGTTGTTTGCGTCTTTTGATATCAAAGAGCAAGAACTCACGCATTTCGCATAGAATCCAACGACCGTGGAGCCATACGGATGCACATGGGTCCAAGTTGTCTCTCTCGAGTAATGAGACGGAAACTGGACAATCCGGCCTGTATTCGTTCGAACCTTGCATGATAGTTAATACTCATTGCTTTTGTTAATCCCGCTTAGCATTCAGTACTCACTCTAAGTCCATGAATAGAGTCTTCCTCCTGCATTACCTGTAGTGACTTGACCACCTCCAGCCCTGGTCCATCAATAGCCAGCGCGTGTCGATGCGAGCCGGAGTGCTTGTATACTATCTCTGTTGACCCGTTTGAGTACCGGCCGATGTGGCCAAACGGCTTGTTTTTCGAGGAATCAGTATAGACAAAGTCAAAGCCCGTAATGGTGTCGTAGCCCTGGAGCCATATTCCGATTTCGACCAAATCACTCAGGTCTACGCCTTTGGCCCCACCGAACATCACCACCGAGAATGGCAGCTCGAAGCTGTCAACAAAGGAGAATCGCTGGCTTCCGTCATAATATAGGTCTGACGGGGGGACATCTGGGCTCCATAGCGAGGAAGTTACCATTGTTCGATCCGAGTACAGTCCAACTTCCAGGACCGCTCTGCTAAGTGATACCATTTTCAAGCCCTACTATCAGGTCAGTTATCCACGCCCCCGAAAAGAATAGGAAAGGTCAAGAAGCAATTTCTTACATCGAACTCGGCTTTGACGCCGCTGAACTCTCTCCAGACGCCTTCACCAGCCAATCGCCATCTTGGGAACCCTTGAGGATCACCAGCCCATGACGATAGTTTTCCGTTGTCCATCAAGGCGGCGACGGCCCTGATACCTGACAGATCCAGTGCTAAGTACCACCCCGCGATGGTATACAAGGACTCGTGCTCACATTCAGGAGGGAAGTCAAGCGCGTATTCTTTGTCGGGGTGGATATACCCGAGGCAGATGTCGTCTCGACTCTTGGTGGCAAACCTGAGGCCCGACACAAAGATACCACTGCCCAGCTGGACAAGAGACACGAACAGCTGGCGTACACTCAGCGGCCCGTTCCCAGTCACAGCTCGAGCGCGCAAAGCCCTGCAGCCGCTGTAGAATGGATCGCTCGTTGTCCTGACGCCCCGGGCAGCTTTGTGCCATGAGTTG